TTTGATCTTTCGGCTTAGTTTGAATATCGGATATTTTTTTCTACCCGAGGAAGAGTTTTGCTAGAAAATGCGATTAAAATTTTGTCTCTTTTCTCCACAATTTCTTGTTTCATTCTTTTGTCTAGCACCAAATTAGAGTTCGATATCGGTAATCTTGAGTCGAGGCTAATCAAACTTAGCGATATGAGTGGCTTTTCAAATACCAACCTGCTTTCGTACACAAGACTGAACTTTCCGTTTGGAATCACTCAAAACGAAGCAAAGTGTTGAGCAGACAAGAGTTGTCCGCCAAGTCACGTGCGTGTAAATGAACAAAGAAAATTTGACTGTCATTATGTAATAACTAAATTACGGAAATTCAGCAATTTCCTCTCCCCCTCCCCTTTCCTCTCGAATTCAACAATTATCTCCGTGTGGCGGATTTACACAATATCAGAAATTTTCTTTTGACGACTACTTAAGACTTCACTTTGCTCCTGCCATCGAAAGTCATTCAAGCTATCGCGATACAGTGAATTTTTAGTTCTAAAGTTAGAGTTGAGTCTACCAGGTGGTCCAATATGTCTAATCCAAGTGCCAGCATTATTTCTCACATGAACAACGACCATCAACTCGCATTGCGCGATTACGTTGTTGTTTATGGATCGGTGGACCCCAGATATTTGAATGAGGACTCCGTTGAAATCAAGGAAGTTGACACTGAAAAAATTGTGATTGCATACGATGTTATCAATCCATCTTTGACAAAAACCTTAACCCTCAAGTGGAATGACACCAAAGAGCATGAGAATTTACGTGTCAAGTCGTATGCAGATATCAAGTCCAAACTTATTGCAATGGCCAAGTACAGTGCTGGACAACAGGGATTTGTTGAAAAGAAATTGACCAAAATTTTTGGTCCTGACGCCGGAAGTTTCCCAATGTACCCAATCTGGGCCATTTTATTACTTAATGCTTACAATCCAGCAATCTTAAGAGGATTCGCCAGTAACACTGAATTGATAAAGAAGACAATCGAACATTTTCCAGCAGTGGTTTCCACAATCTATTCTTGGACCGAATTACACGCATTGAGGATTTGCATTGGTTTGTTTATTGCTCATTTGGGAGAAGTACTTTTTATTTCAAGACCATTCTTGAAGAAACATAGAGCACCATTTGGAACCAGGTTGGTATACTACTTTATGAACTTGGTTGAAGGGTTCCCTGTCTTGCTCAGATTGAAAAAGAACACTTAGCTTTGACGTGTGATGAACATCATAGGTGTTTCGTTATGACTAGATTTGTCGAATATAGAATATTTAGACGCTTTCAAATCGGTACGCAAACGTGTTAATCTCTCCCGATCTATTCAACAACTATATGTAAATATTAACCTATTTACGGATTCTCGATGGATTCCGTGACTTAACCTTTCGCTTGTGTTGCTTTCTTTGGTTTCTTCAATTCAGTCCCGTTGGTGTTGTCAAGCGACCGCTTTTTTTGACCTACATCAACATCACTCAAGTCTAATTCCTCGCCTTCAGAGCTATCTTCCTCATTACTGTCCTCATCCTCAGATTCATTTGTTAATGCAACAATGTAGTACTTCAATGCATTGATGAAAATGTCTTCTGAGATTAAATTTGCCAAGTCTTCACCGTTTCTAAATTCCTTTCCTGGCTTCTTTCCTGTCCACGCAAACCACGAGAAGAACGACTTCATGCCTGCACGATACCATTTCTTATCTTCTGAGGTCATGTTTTTGCCTCCATTTGTTCTTTCTTTCACTAATTGAGGGTTGATCTTTGACAATTCATGTGGCCACTTGATCTCCACTGGAAGTGACTCCAAATGCTCTTCTCCATTATCACGTAAAACCACTTTGAAACTCTTGGTCACGCTCTGTTCCTCGATGATTGGGCTTTTTTTGAAGCTGATTGTGATATCAAAGTCCCTGGGATTGCAGATCCTCTGTCCTTCGTCTTCTTCCACTACTGGGTGGTGAACATAGATGTCATCTATATACTCCAAATACTTGAGGTCATCTGGACTAGCATATTCAGCAAACTCATCGTTCTCAGCTATAATTATGTACCAAAATCTAGGAATGGTTTTCAACATTGTCCTCCGTTTAGCATACATAGGTTGAGTCAATTTGAGTCTATAAATATCGGCATCTTTCTCCACTTTGTCCATTTGCAGCTCCCACGCCGACAACTGATTCAAGCTTTCCAGTAGTATTTCTGACTCATTCTCCAAGTCAGATGCTTCAACTTTGTTCTGCAGCATCACTAGTTGCTCTTCTCTTCGTGAATGTATCGGTGTCTGGATTAAGCTCTGGAAGAGCGAGAAAAAAAAAATACAAAAATCTCAGACGTGTGTGAGTAAGTGAGAGAAAGAGAGAGAGAGAGAGATAGTGTGTGCGTGTAACCAACCTGATAGTGCCATTGACATCATAGATTACAGCAATAAGAACCAGGCGTCCCAGTTGCCATTGACTCTAAGTTATGTCGGTCGAGAATGAGCTCATCTCCAAAGTCTTGCTCACAATCGATAAGTACAAAGGCAGCTTATCAACTTTCAAGAAGGCCATCGTCGAGGGGGAGTATACGAAGTTGCATCAGCCACGGATATTTCTGAGGCTACTATTATGGAAGGCCTGCTTAATGCTTGACTCTCTTGCAATATCAACTTGGGCGACGAAGCTCAAAGAAACCAGAATGGTGTATCAACAACTTGTTGCGAGGAAGGATATGTTAATTCCATGGTCGGACCTTGACGAAGATAGCGCTTATTACCAGCTACGAAGTGTCAGCCGCAAGGCCAGTATCAAAAAGAACACTTTACCGCCCCTGGTTTCAAGAAAGGTGAAGAAAAATTCGTTGCGGGAAAGAGCTTTTGAAAACCCACTACAGCCTGCGTCAACAACAACAACAACAACAACAACGGATACAATTGTGAGTGGCGACGACCACGAGGAGAATTTAGAGCTTTTAAACAACATAATTCTAGACGTGGAGAGATTATTCCCCGGAGAGGAATTTTATCATAGTGGTGCTGATGCAATACCCATACGAAAACAGGTGGTCGAGGTCCTTTACATTTGGTGCAAATGCCACCCGCGCATTGGTTACAAGCAAGGTTTCCATGAAATATTGGGCTTGATATTTATGAATTTGTACAAAGAATCCGTTGCGTTGGATCAAGACCAACTATATTCGGCCAACTATTCTCAAGACGAAATGGCGATATTGGGCCTTTATAATATCCGCTTTATATGCCATGATCTTTTTAACATTTTCAACAAGTTTGTGACTGGAAGTGGAGTTGCAGCAGGCTTGTACGAATCAGAACTACAGTTGACGAAACTGATCGATTTGTTCAATGCTTACCTCATGAAAATCGATCAATTTATTCATTACACTTTGACCACTAGACTCGAACTAGACACACAGTTGTGGATCATACGCTATCTCAGATTGCTTTTGGTTCGAGAACTAGGTGAAGAGCTAGAAACTACAAGCTTACTTTGGGACAAACTAATTGCAACTCAAATCCAACGCACTCCAGGACTGGGAATGACGTATTTTATTGAGATTCTCATATTCTTGGTCATTCAACTTTTGATACAGCAAAAGACAGAAATCGTTACCTCGGACTTCAGTCAATGCTTATCATTGCTTTTGCATTATCCGGTACCTCATTTTGCATCACCAGCAAGTAGAGACACATACATCCAAGTATTATATCGAGACGCAATCAAGCTCTACGAGAGACGAAGCAATGACCTAAAGTTGTTCGAGTACGGAAACAAACTAAATAAAAAGTACAATCCTGGGCTAAAAATTTCTTTGGGGTACAGGGATAGTAGTGAATTGAGCGATGCTGCTAGTGAGAGGTCCAGTGTGGATTCATCGGGATCCTCTGCTGAATTCAGTAAGAGCCAAATAAGTCCCGCCACCAATGACAGAGCAGAAAAGATGCGCTATGAGAAGTTGAGAATGGAAATGCGATTAAAGAAGAAAGCAAAACAAATGCTTCATCAGTGAATAAAGAAACCTATTTTATTGCTCGTTATATGTAATGCAGACAATTCGATGGTATATAACCAACCTGAAATTTGCTATATTTGTGTAGTTTAAAACGAGGATACGATTTTTGCTTTGCTATGACGTCTCTCATACTGTAGATGCGTTTCGGCCAGATCGATTTAAGAATGATGATTTAATTTTTTTTTTTTTTTTTGTTTTTTTTTTTTGTTTTTGGTTGAAGAAAAGAAAGTTTGAAACCCAGAGATAAATCTGCAGGCCTCAACAGTTCTGTAACTACGCCCAACTCCACTTAAACCACCCTCATTCGCAGAGGTATATTACCACACATTGCATTTCTTTCACGAACCGAGGAGTGACATCAAAGAATAAAAAAGTCCAGCATGGGTAAAAGAAAGTCCTCGACGCGTAAACCAGCAAAGAAGATCAAGCAAACGTTAGATGTGCAGTTTACTTGTTTATTTTGTAATCATGAGAAGTCAGTAATATGCACGTTAGATAAGAAAAACCTTTTGGGGGAGTTGCATTGCAAAATATGTGGTCAAAATTTTCAAACCGCAATACACAGCTTGAGCCAGCCTGTTGATGTATATAGTGATTGGATCGATGCTTGTGAGGATTTGGCCGAGGAGGCAGAGAAAAATGGATATGAAGGTGGTGATCACGATAGAGGTGACGTATATTCTGACGATGACGATGACGAAGACAACATTGCTCAAGGTGGGAGAGAGGTTGATCCGGTACTAGGTTCTGATGGAGATGACGAGGAATTTTGAGAGGTAACAACATCGGTGGCGAACATCGCTATTAGGATATTTCTTAATAAAATTATATTGTAGACAATGCGTTAGTTAATGTGTCAAATTGTTCAACACTTGATCGTACGTTTCACTAAGTACTGAGTCTTTCCCTTCGCTCTCGTTTACAGTGTCACTAAAGTCCTTCGAAGTGCCATCTTCGTTTCCGATACCGTCCTTTGAAAGCTTCCTTAACTGCAGATGTAACGCTTCAAAACTCAACTCCTGTTCATCTGCATCTCCCCCCTCTTTTGATTTGTGCTTAAACACATTCTCCAACGAGACGCCCCTCTTTCTCCAATCGTCCAAGTAGCTAATGACTTTATCCAAATCGGAAAGGTTGACATTCATTAGTTTCTTCCTAACGTCTTCACCGGACATTTCGGATTCACCGGGTTCTATTTTGTGGTAATCATTCAATCTCGATAACTTCAACATGGATCCTTCTTGTCTATTCAAGCTGGCCAAATTGGTTCTTGAATTAGACTTTGACGCCAAAGGGGACTTGCTAGCAGGAACGGCTTCACCAGGTTTTAGGTGAATATCCGCCTCTGCTAGCTTATCGCCATCGTCGTGTAGTTCTGGACGATGCTGACCCGTGGGATTTTGTCCTTCTCCCACCTTAACGAGATACATATTGGCCCTTGTCCCAGAATCATCAGTAAAATTGGGATCAATTAATTGTAAACCTTTTTCAATACTGGAATCGATGTAAATAAGTCGAATAAGGGTCTCTTTCCCATCTAGGTCTAATGCATTCTTCAATTGCAAGTTAAGCAACTCCTCGATAGACTTCTTTAGGCTCCTTCTGATTTGATTGGCACGACTGAAAAGCTTGACTACATCGGGAGACGACAAGTCTAACTTCTCTTGCGCTTTCAAGTCCAAGACATTGTTTAATTGTTCTGTTAACGATTGAGGTTGTGCAATTGCTTCCTTCAACGGCACCTCTGCAGTCTGCGGTAAATCCTTGCGCTTTGAGTCGTATAACAACTTCTCCATGTTTCTCATGGTGTACAAGCCAATACGTTCCTTGAATAATCCTGGAAGTGCTGATGAATCACAATCCAAATTTATCAACGTGTTTGAATTTTTTGTTGCATTAATCAAAGCAGAAGCGGATGTGGAGTCCACATAGTTTCCAAGAATAGAGAAATACCCCATATTTTTGCAAAATGGTAAAACATTTGCAAGTTGAAGTATTGACGATTGACTGAAATTCTCATTTTCGAGATGCAATCTTGTCATCTTTGGAAAAAGTGGTAACTTTGAGGTGAAGTAGGCAACAGTGGCATTCTCCGTTGCATTAACATTCAGTGAACTTGTATCTTGTGTGTTAGACATGGTGCCAAATAATCTTTGATTGTTTGAAAAATCGAGGTACTTCAAGTTTGGCAACTTCATCAACACGTTTTCAAAAACTTCCCTAAAAGCGTCATTGAATACGGCATTTGTCGAGTTTAAGCTCAAGAATGCTAACGTTGCCTTAGAAATTATCCTTTCATAGTCTGGTCGCTTGGTAAAGTCCAAAAAAATCTTCAAAATTTTGGTACTTGAAATGTCATTGTAACCTAAATCTAAACCTCTGGCAAAATCACCAAAGATCCACGAATTGACAATTATATTCATATGTCGCGGAGTCAAGTTGTTAAAAGCTAATCCCAATCTGGAAGTTTTTTTCAGAACTGCCAACTCCATCAAATTTTCAAATATCTCAACGTTGGTAATACAACACCCAGTCATTATCAACTCCTCGATACCTCCCCTCGCAATCAAAGTTGCAACAAACAACGACCAATCAACATCAGATCTGTTGTCTTTGTTGCAGGTCATTCTTTCCAAGTCCTCTTCATACTTCTTTGTGTCTGTTTGCGCCTTCTTCTTCTTTTTCTTTAGAACGTTTACAGATAAAGCTGGACACTGCGTGATGTCCAATTTATTCAATACCGTGTTCCTCGACAAAAACCAGCAGAATAAAGACCACCCCTCTTGATTAATTGGAGTGTTTCTCAAACTCAATTTTTCAAGTTGCTTCTTTGCACTCATTGCAGATAATAGTATTTTGAATTGCTCAACAGTTAAATTGACACCGTCCAATGAAACACATACTATAGGTGCAATGCGCACAAAGTCTGCAAAAGTTTGTACTTCGATCATTGTTGGGTGAGGATTCCGAAGTTGCAAAACGGGAAGTGGGGCCATTGAACCTTCTGGTATTTGTTTTAATATAGCCGGAATAGGCAATATTTCGCGTAAATGGCAGCAACGAGAATACATTGTGTCAAGAGCCATCTTCTTAACTGGAACAGTGTAGTTCATTGGTTCATGGTGAACCATAAACTTGTCGATTGCAATATTTTTCGCATGCTGGTCAATTGCTGGTTCGTCTTCTTCCTGAGATGGGCCGTCCTGTGAGCTATTGTCAACCTCGTCCCCTTCGCGATCATCTTTTCCATTCTCCGCATCTTTGGGAGCATCCTTCGGTATGTAACCCAACGCACCGGTACCTCCAACGACAATCCCACCACCTAATCCCATTTGCGATTTCTCAATAGCTTCTTTGTCTTCTTCCGTCAAGGGGTTTATTTTTACTTGTCCATTGGATAGTATTTCAACATTTCCCTTTCGAGGAGTACGCGAGGGAATTTGTTGTGGGGGATCGATCAAGAATGTGGAAGAGTGAAATGCTACTCGCTTCAATGGTTTCAATCCTTTAAACGCTGGGTTTAGTTCAAGGTCATTTCCTGTGCTTGGTGGAGGGCTTGTCAGTAAAGACGAGGTGGATGGTGCCACTGCAGAAGGTGCTGGGGAATGAGCCGTATCTCCTTTAACCGAACTCTTTCGCCTCAAGAAGTGAGAGATTCGAGACGAAGTGGACTCATTTTGGGCAGAAGCAGAAGCACCATGTTTATCTCCATAGACTGTATTATCGTATCCGTTGATCAAGACACTAGGTTTGGAAGTCGTGTCACTCCCAGTCGAACCAGTAGATGTAGTTGAGCTTCGACGAAGATCTTTTTGTTTGTAGAACCTGACGTATTCTTCGAGTCTTGGATCTGCGTGAGTCGTGCCAACAGGAAGGGCTGGTGCCGTTTTTGTCCTTTCCAAACTCGATAGCTCGTTAGTAGATGCTAGCAGCGCCGTCACCTTTTGAGAGTGTAGCGATGGCTCGTGGATGGGGTTGTGAGTGTTTGGCCTTGTCATATTGTAATCTGCTTTGAAGAAGTGGTCACTTGACTGATTCGTAGGCTTAGAGGGAGGCTCGTAAGTATCCTTGGTGAATTTTTCTTTTATTTTGGAGAAAAGCCCGCCTCCGGTGCTACTTCTCCGTCTAGGTTTAACAAACGGTACCTCGCTGTTATTTGGTGCTTGGGGTGTGTATTTTGTCTGAACATGCTCTTCGCGTATAGGCGAGATCGATGGTTTTGTCTTTGATACAATCGCATCGTTGGAATTGGAAATGTCTGTGTTTAGATGGGAGTTCACGGACCGAATGGGGGTTTGTGGCAGTGATGCTACTACTCCTGATCCTTCTGCTTCTGCTTCTGCTGCCGCTGCTGCTGCCGCTGTTCCAACTCCCAATTCTTTTGTGGCCGGTAAGTTCCTTTCTTTGTCCTCACTACCTGTAATGGTAGTACTGACGGGTGCCCGCTTAGGTAATGGGATCGCGGGGTCCATAGAAGAATCCCTGAGAAACCAGTCCACATCTGTATCCCTGACACCTTTAGTGTAAACATTAGTTTCTTCCTCCAACTTATCTCTAACAGTTTCAGCACGCAAATCGCTACCGGGTGCCTTGGGTATTGAGAACTCTGCGTAATTATTCTTTTGCTGTTGTAACAGGTTTCTCCTTTCCGGTGCAATCTCCAACGTGCTATAGGAGGTTAGCTGAGGTTGCGACTTTCTCGACACTGGCAGTAATATATTGCCACTTTGTGACTCATTTGCGGTGTCACCCTCGGTCATAATACCTAGACGATTTATAGCAGTGTATAAAATTGATGAGTCTGTAAAGAGAGTACAAGCTTTGGTGCTGGTTGGCGTTGGGGTTAATATGGGTGATGGTAATGGTTTTGTTGTTGGTTCTGGTACTGATATTAAATGTAGTTGAAAGTGGCTTCTACTGTTGTTGCTGTTGCTGTTGCTGTTGCTGTTGCTGGTGGTGGTGGTGGTGGTTGCCTGTGTGTGTGTGGGGAGAGAATAGAAGGTGTTCAATTAACTTTATAGATAATCACATGATCTCTTGATCACATGATTACATAATCTCTATAATGTGTCGTGTTCTTGTGGTGACCTGATTCTCTTGCGACACAACACAAATGGAGAAAGCTCCATTTGTATAGACACTTGCCCCATGCATTTATATCTATACACTCTCTTTTCTCAAGAGTACTAGCTTGCGGTTTTCAATGTTTGTACATTACATGTGTTGTTGCGCATTGTATGCACAACAAAACCGTTTAAAACCATTTTGAAAATATTCTGGCACTTGCTCGCATCCCCAGAGCATAACATATCTTCTCTCTGCGCTATTTTATTAGAGACTATTCTTTTGTTTTTCATTTTCACAGAATATTCCCAATAACTTTACTTAGCAATTTGTTCGACCCACTTTTGCAAACTTCTCTTTCTGGGGGGTTTTTTTTTTTTTTTTTTGCTTTTCTGTGCTGTAAATTAAATATTGCATTTCTTCAACAAAAGAGATCCCCGTGTAATAAGAGATATTTGCCAGACTGGTGTGGAAGAGAAGAGGGTGGCGCGACAAAATTGTGTCCAAGATCCGTGAGAAAGCAAAACAGAACAACGGTACGGTAAAAAGAATGCACTGTACGCGATTATACAATTACACAGTTGAATATTTATACAATTGAAGGAGTTATTTACGTACATTATGTCAGAAAATACTTATAGAGATACGCAGACTGAGGACACGTCTCAGCCATACAAAGTGGAGATATCACAAACCTCACAACAATCTCAAGAGCTAAAAAGTATCATACACTCGTTCAAACACAACCACGATGTTTCATATTACCCGAATATTACTATGAAGATGAAGAAGAATGCCAAGATCAGCAAAAATCCACAAATAAGAAGGACATCAAGTCCCCAAAAGAGAGCAAATGTTGCAGTCGCAGATACTACAAAGCTACCTGATTTACGCCAATCTTTGAGCACCAATTTGGATTTGTTGTTTATAGGATTCAATCCGGGAGTTCAGTCATCGATCCAACAACATCATTATGCCCATCATTCCAACCTTTTCTGGAAATTGTTCAATAAGTCTAAGCTATTAGAGAAAGTCCTCGCACAGAAGGAAGAGCCTAACAATGATTATGCCTTGAATGACCTTCTTCGGAACGGATGCTCTGCCAAGGACGATTTTGAGTTGATAAAATATGGCATAGGGTTCACCGATTTGGCGTTGAGATGCACTGCCACGGCAGCTGAATTGACGGCTGAGGAGAAACTCAACAACATACCACGTCTTATACATGAAATAAACTTTAGCGGTGCTAGAAATGTCGTGCTTGTTGGTAAAGGCATATGGGAGATGATTGTGAAACATTTCGCTTCTGAGTTGAAAACAAAGCTTAAGTTGACTAAAGATAACTTTCGATGGGGAAAGATTGCGATTGGAGAAGATGCCCAATACAACAGGGTACTCAAGCTAATGTTTTCTCAACTACCCAACAAAACTTGTGTGTACGTGTTTCCAAGCACTTCCGGGTTAGTTGCAAGTATGTCTTTTGAAGAAAAGTTGCAGCTATGGCGGAACTTGGCTGACAATGTATGAATGTAAACATGAGTTGTTGTTTTAGTACCCTCTTTCATGGCTATACATTTATGTAAGGGGTAAGTTTTGCAACGCATTTTCGCTAACAGAAAATCTGCCTTTTCCTCTCCTCATCTGAGCAATGCTATGATTGCCTCACTCACTCCTGGGGAGCAAGCGGATAGATTTGGTACCGATATCATGATCACTATTGGAGACGAACCCATGGAGCAACTGAGTTCCACAAGTGTTGGTTCCGAGAACATCGCCATCTTCGTCGCTCATCTCGAAGTTTTCGTCACTGGCCACCATCATTAAAGATCCTATCGCAAACACTTTCGTGGTTGTGGCCACCACTGATCTCAAAGGCCAACATACCAACCTCGACACTATACTATTTTCACTACTACCATCGCCAATACCATCGCCAATACCACTACAAGGGAACAAAACCGAAGTCGTTACCACCAAGTCTTATGCACCCGGTGCTGGCTCAAATTTAGTATCCTTTGGTTTTCAAACTGATGTTCCCGTTAAAACAACGTCCAGTATTGTCAGAGCAAATGTTGGCAGTTTAGAAACTGAATTATTCAGAGTTAGACAGTCAATAGAATTATCTTCACAGCAAGCACAAGAAAAGCTTGACAAGTGACGGGAGAAAGAATCAGGTATAGTTGTTCAAGGAGAAGGTGGTCGAGCATCTCAACACAGCTATGGTTCTTATTTGACACCTACACCAATCACACGAAAGTGCTTACAGGGTCTGAGCTGGTAAAGTTCCCAGAGAGCGCTGAATTGTTTTTGTGTGGCTACTTTTTGATCAATTGTATTTGTAGCTAAATGGAAGTGTTGTTTTTTATGAGCTGTGGAGAGCATCAGAATTCCTCGTTAATCGTCAGCTAGAGGTATATAGTGAATTAGTGCATCGTTTAGTTGTGTTGCAAGTAATCCTCCTTTCTATTTGAACGCACTATTGAGTTTACTCACGCTTCAACTGTGTGCAATAGAATACTAGATATATAGGTTTAGACAAACACAACTTTTTCAATCCTTGTTGTTGAAACCTTTGAAAATAGGTTTTGTTTCACCCAAACTTTAGCAAGTATCGCTCAAAAAATTTCTAGATTCTCCCTACTCATCAGAAAACAGCTCGTTTACGATTGGAGCAAAGATCCGATCGTCATACTTCATTACTTTTTTCTTCAATTCTGAATTCCATCTTTTCTGTCTCTCAATCAAAAGCTCATAGCATTCTTTTTCAACTAAAAGGTACCGGATTCGCAGATACATGGAGTCAACATCTAATTCCAATGTATCAAAGCTAACATCCGGGATATCTCCAGCTTTTAATTCTCTCTCCGCGATACACAACGGAACCCTGGCCAGTTCATCCACCTTCTGCGTACCTTTCCCCTCTACCCTGCTTGACTCAAACTCAAACTCAAACTCGAGGTGCTCTTGCGCAAAAATATTCAACGACAAGTCTAAGGAAAAAGGGTTAATTTCTCTTCCATTCTCAATTGATCCACGAAACATCAGTGTGTCAAACACTGCCTGATTTGGATCCAACAGGTAAAACTCTGTATCCTCTAGTACCATTTCAGCAGGGGACATTTCTTCTTTGAAGGAGCTCACATTTTCATCATTTCCAGCAACACCAAGACTGCTTGCCAACTCTATCGATTTGACTGCTTCCTTCGAAATTTCTGGTTCAAACGATATATCTGATGAGGTTTCCTTATCTGATGTGGACTCGGACATTTCGGTATTTGGGGAGCCAAGAACACTCAAGATTTTCATGTTGTTTCGAGTTTAGTATTAAGAATGTTGTGCTGGAGTGAAGTTGGTTGCAAAAAATTTTCCCTCACTTTTTCACGAAATTTTCGTCTTCACCAGTTGCTTTGTTAAATCTAGTCAGTTTTTTCCTTTACGATATACCTGGTAACAATGGCAAACCCAAAAGAGAATGCACTAGTCAACGACGTGCTGGTTGACTTGGTTGTTGTAAAAACCAAATTGTTGTTGAAAATACTTTTTTAAAAAAAAACATGCAAAAAAAATAACGACAACTGCAGGACTCGAACCTGCGCGGGCAAAGCCCAAAAGATTTCTAATCTTTCTCCTTAACCACTCGGACAAATTGCCTTAATTGATGACTTTTGAACTCTATGATAACTCAGTAGGAGCTAAAAATGTACTAACAGTTGAGCATCTGCTCGTTTTCAAATCAAGATATTCAGTCTAACAAATGAGTTCAAGTTTTTCAAAACTGCACCGAAAAAGAAGTCTAGATAACCTAAGTACAAACATATCCTAGACCAGTTCTATAAATTTTTTAAATCAAGTACAAGAGAACTTTCATGTCCATTTATAACTGAGATATCCACCATTTGTTAGAAAAAGTTCAACATTTTATCTCCGTGGTTACTCCCAAGCACAGCTGATCTTGGCCCACTCACAAGCTCCACAGTTAGGACTTTGATTAGTGTAAATAAGCTTGTACCAATGTCATTTAACACCTAACAGTTACGACTACGTACATTGTCAACCGTACGGATCTCTTAAAGTCGGATTATCTTAAGGATCAACCACAACCAAGCGCAACCGAAGGCTGCAAACGATATGGCGATGTTCAAAACTACCCACAAGTCAGGATACTTTACTGGAGGATCAAATGCAAAATCCACAACGTGGTAGAAAATCATAGCCACATAGGTTGCCAAAATCATCAAATTACTCGCACTCAATTCCCTCAAAGTAGGTATAACAAGTCTGAATCCAATAAGCCAATTGAGTAGTATGCTTGTTACAAAGTATTGTAATACCAAATCATCCTTTTTCAACAATGGATATAAGCTAAAAGTACCCACATTATTAACCCATTGAATAAATGTTATATCACGTGGGTTGATTAAAAGAAGCAATAACATGGGGCATAGGGGAAGCAAAATCGACTTTTCGTGAACTTGGTATGAGAACAAATAAAATGACAATGCATTGAAAGCAAATCCATACAACATCGCAGATACACGTTTCTTGTCACTGTCATTGCTTTTGCTGTTGCTATAGCTATCGCCTTTAACACTCACAACCTTGCGGTCGGTTGCGGTTTCGCTCCCTGCAGTGGATGTCGGTTTTTTCAACTTGTAAAAAATGTAAATGTTAATTGGTATAATAAATATCAAGGTGGCTCCTAATGCTAATCTGGAAAGCTGTGAAGACGAGACTAGATCGCGATATTTAACCAAGACGTTGGTGGTGCACCAAAAGTTGGCAACTTTATCCTCAAATAGTCCTCGATTGAATGGAAAGATACGATACACAATTTGTGGTAATGTGGTTTTCCAATGTGAGACAAAAGGTAGTAGATAGATGAATTGAGTTACAATTACAGATAATCCAACCGATATCAAGTCCCGGATGTTTCTCAATTGACTCAATATGTAAAAGAAAATAAACACCGAGTAGTATAGTCCCATTTGTTTGAAGTTGATACAACTTACAAACCACACACTGGCCATTACCAAGTGGTTCTGCACCAATTCAATGATTGCATACACAAAACACCCCAACATCACCGAATTGTACTGAAAATGTCCATGATCAATCAAAACCAAGTGCGGTTGAATCAAGATAATCAAGGCAAATATTATTTGATCCATTCTGGTCAAGTTGAACTTTTTCCCCAAAATGTTAGCTAGGATTAAAATTCCAGGAATATAGCAAACCAACTCGCTAACAATACTGGTGATTCTCATGTAAAATTTCAAATCATTCGTTTCCAACCCTCGTGAGGAATTCAATGCAAACCAGATTGGATTTAGAAATGAGCCAATTTTACCCAAGACCCAACTGTGGTAAGCAGTTAATGGCGGGTAGTCCAAACCCCAGTACTGAAGATCAAAGAAGTACCACTCAGAAGTAGGCAAATTGATTGTCAATTCCATCCAATGTCGCTGAGCTTCAAAATCACCATGCATTGGTGGTTTTCTATAGCCTGAATGGCCACCAAGACCAACTACAGTGCGTAATATGATGGAGCTTAAGATGAGAATGTATCTTGCTGCCCACTGGTCTGGTGCTTTCTCAAAATAATGCAATAAGTCATAGACCGGCGAGTTGATGAATATACTTTTCAATTGAGGTGAGGCAGCAGCGGAAGATGTGGCAGCACCAGCAGTCGCCTTTTGAACAAAGCCAGATTGAGTTGACTTTTCTTGTTTGTCTGATTTCTTCTTAGCTTTGCCCATGTATAAGATATGCGTAGAAAGGACAGGAGGGATGTTGAGATTTTTTAATGCGTGTTGAATTCGCACAATAGTAACAATTTTTCAAAAAGCAATTTATGTCACTGGTAGATCCTGAACCACAACTATTAATGAATGTACCACTACCCAAGGCTGCCATATTAAAGTATTCCTGATTTAGCACAGTGTTTTTGCATCTGTTAAATGGAGACTGCCCACTCCCCTCATCCAAAAGCAATTATCCTTTCTGTTTTCAACTCAATTCTTAACAGCCCACAATTAAAATAAGCAGGCACGTCGTTGGAGACAAGGAACATTACACACGTAGATCCGTCGACACCTTGTTGAGAGAGTGGGTTTTGAAAGTAGAATGAGAAACTCCGCAAACCAAGATCTTAACCTTGGTGATTGATCATTCTTGGATTTCAAATTTGGTGACGAGCATAGACAAACAACTTGCCAAGTCACAAGATGATAGCGGTGAGTCATGTCCTTCCAGTACAGAGGATGCAAGTAAGGTGGAAATTTATGTGAAGAGATGAGAGATAGCCGGGGGCCAGCAACAAACTGGAAGGGCGGCCCAATGGATGTTGTAAGCGAAGGAAATGTACCCTATTTTCCTACTCGAATGTACAGCAATCAGAACTCTTGCAAATCTGGCGACAAGCAAAGCAGGTACATTGTCGGCGAGGTCAGGGAGCATCCTGGAGGAAACACGTGACTCATCAACATGAGTGGTACTTGGTACAATTTTGGATTCATTTGTAATATCTCTCTCTTCAATGTGACCATCTCTCTGCACTCATTTTTCAGCACCCACGGATCCAGTTTTTTTGCTCTTGCTAAACAATGAATTCACTCGTCAGTTCAATTTGGTTTTCACTTATTTCATTTCATTTCATTTCATTTCATTTCATTATCGGCGCCGTTTAACTGGGAAAACTCAACTGCTTCGCAGTCCTCAACCTTGACTGAAAATTCCAATGCATTGGCAAACTTTGACCATTCTTGACTCAACCCTGTCTTCCAATTGGCTTTGACTTTTGCATCATTTGCCCCCCTCCAGCCATTTCTAACCGGTGCAGTTTCAGGGAGACTCAAATGGGATCTTTTCTCATCAACAACAACATCGTCCTCTTGATTCTCATATAATGTTGCCGAGTTGAACATATATAATAAGCAGCACTTGATCACGTGAATAACATGTTTTGTGATACAAACATAGAATATAGATCAGAACGCGTCTGTTTTTGTGTGTGAGTTCTATAATACATACACGTACTGTATGTAAGCGAGAGAAAGTAAAGAGAGTGTTCAGGGGTCAAAAGTACACAAGCCGTACTTCAATACAGTACTAACAGTTACATACATACATACATATATGTATATATATATAGTGGCATAATAGGTATTGATTATGAATCTACGCACAGTAATAATAACAGTAATAAGAACTAGTGGTAGTAGTAGTATAGTAGTAGGATTACTATTCACCATGTATTGTTGTTGTTGTTGTACCACTATACACTGTCTTCTCTTGCATCTTTTCTCTCTCTCTCTTTCTTTCTCTTTCTCTCTTTATGCTGTGTGTGTGTTATTATTTTGGTAAATCGCGTCATATCATAAAATTAGTTCTCATTAACCAAAGTACACTACTACTACTACTACAACAACAACAACAAAACATTTTTATGTCTATATTTCTTAAAATTTCCTTCTTCTTCTTCTTCTTCTTCGTCTTCCTTTTTACTAAACAAAACTAAACACACATATACACACACACACACACTAACACATACACGGCATAAAGAAGTGTATTACCTCATCTACATACGACAAAAGATACTGTCTAATAATTATACCACACATACATAGACACGTCACTACACTACACTTCACTTCACTTCACTTCACTTCACTAGAATATGAAACAGACGGACTCTTCTTATAGGAGTAGTGGTAACAACAACAACACCACCTATTCTCAAGGCATCAAGCACTCGAGTGTTGCATCTAGTGTCTATTCGCCCATCCAATCGGAGTTTGTTATACCTGCGTCAAATGCTATAATGGAAGAAGACGAAGAAGAAGGAGACGAAGGAGTAGAAGAATACAGACATGTGGCAGATACCGGAAATCTTATGTCCTCACCTACGCAGCATCAGCAACTAAAGAGTCCTCAAGAAGACTCCAGTATCGATGCAATTGAAGAGACAAGTGCTTCCTCAGATGAAGATGATGACACTGCTTCTCAGCACGGGGGACGTATTGCAGATAGGTCTACCCAAACTATACAAACATTTATGACTGCAAACACCCGAATGACCGATGGAAGCCTACCACTGCAACTGCAACTGCAACTGCAACTGCAACTGCAACTGCATCAGCAACAACAAGAGCATCTACAACCAGGACTACACTATGCTCCCCACAGCAGATCCAATTCATCTTCTACAACGACTGAAAGCTTGCACGACTCAACAAGAATATTGGACACCGATGCCACCCCTATTTTAGCACATTCAGCATCTGCTAATGAGGACAAAACTCCTCTTGTGTCTCCAGATGGGTTTGTTCAAACTGGTGTTGAACAGCCTACAACCACGTCTTCTCTTCCTCAAAGAAAACTATCCAAGAAATTTAAAAGGCTTTCATTGAAATTACAAAATGCAACTGCTTCTGAAAACTCGTCACAGTTTATGAGTAACTTCCAACAAAATATCGAAAGAGCCAACAACAAAAGCCAGATTCAATCTCAAGCACATGGCCAACATGCTACAAATCACACAAACAGGACAAGTACTTACTACACAAGGATCAACAGGGGGTCAACAAGTCTGGAAGATTTGCAAAAGAACAGCAAACCAGAACAATTCAGTGGCAGTAATAAACCTCAGTACGACACCGATGACGCAGCAAGCTCGGTTTTGAAAAATGACCAGCATTCAGAAATAAGCTCAGTAAGTAGCAGGGCATCAAGTACGCAAAGTCACTACTCCAATAATCGTGATGATTTCGATGATATGTCCTCCACATCGTCTACAAACAATATTGCTCGAAACAACAATTCGTCTAGTTACAACTTACGAGGATCAATGATTAGTGCTGATGAAGAAGTGCCGATTAGAAGAGATCTAATCGAAACCCCTACAAAGGATAAATTCAAATTATACAACAAGTCAAGTGCAAATTTATCTGAACAAGGAGGTCTCAATATAATTTATGATAAGGACAGTAGAGAACCATCATCAACAAGTGATACACAATCAAAGACTAAATCAGTTGATTTGCTAGCAGAGGAGGAGGACTTGTCTTCATTGTTTATTCGTGCATTACATGCATTTGACTCGTCTACTTTACAATCTGAATCAGACTCTTCCATATGCTTATCATTTGCTAAGGATGATTTGGCATTTGTACATACTATTGATGAATCCGGGTGGGGTGAAGTGACGCTCATTGAGTCTTTGGAAAGAGGATGGATTCCTATGAACTATTTCACAACTGCAGTCACCTCTTCTGACGATGAAGATGAGGATGATAATGATAATAACAATGAAAACCATGACGTTGCAGGTGAAGCGGACAAAGAGAAGGAAACCGGCGAAAAGAATGAAGTGCTACCCAACAGCTCCTACATCAAACCATTGTTTCATGCATGTGGGAAATTCTTGCTCAATCCATTAAGTCATCGGAATAGAAAAGGTCGCTACACTTTCTCAATTCGTGTTGTAAACTCCATTCGGGATGGTGTTCGTGTCCTTCTTCAACAAACAGATTGTTTGTCGAGATCGAATGAAATTGTGACAAAACGGCTGGTTGTCCGTAAAGCTCGGAAAACACTACTTGCTGATTGGTACAACCTAATGGTGAAGGCCAACGAGTTCAAAGGTACGTCAAACTTTAGCAAGATTGAAATTTTGACCTTGATGGTGTATCAAGTGACGAGAAAGGCAACTGAATTCTTGGAGGTGTGGTCCACTGAAAGCAAGCAAGTAGTGAAGCGAGCCAACGAACGGAAATTGCACGATGATTTGAACAATTACCCTCTTTTGCAAGACCCACCTTTGGCCAAACAAAGAATCACTGAAATCAATGGAATATTGTACTCGTACTTGGGATTGATAATTGGAAGAATGGATTTGATTGAGCACAATCAAGTTGGATGTGAAATCTTGGAGACTTTGGCCCACCAAATTATTCTTCTACTTCGAGAGCTTTTATTTATATCCAAAACTGGGTCCGACTTTAGCTTGCAGAAACCCGACGATTTGGATAATTCATTAGATGGGTTACTATCTTTGGTTAGCGATTTAGTCACGGGCGTAAAGAGTTTGGTTGTCAAGACAATAAATGAGGGGGAGATTAGCACCAGGAACTTTGATGGAAACCGAGATTACTTTTATACTCAAGAGGGCGGCGATTTACTTCAAATAGCAGCAAAGATGATCAAGGCAGTAGGACACACCGTGGCCTCAGTGAGACAATTGCTTGACATAACGGGCGATTTCAAATTGAACTCTGAAAGGTCGTATCCAGATTATTTGAAAATGAGGATTGAGCCTCAGGATTTCGTACGGAGATGCATGAAGGGAATCAAATCTACCAAGGGACAACGTGCACCCCCACCACCAGCTGCCAACACACTTGGTGTTAGTAAACCCTACAAAGCCAACCGTTACTCTATGGTGAGATCGGGTAAAAGTGGTGACTTGGGAATAACCGAAAGTGGACAAAGTTTGTTACAACATTTTGACGATTCACCTTTCACTGCCTCAGCTGCTGAGTTTGAGCCATTCACGTCTGCGTCCGATGGCAGTGGCAAGAGCAGTGACAGTGATGAAAACCTCAAGAATGAATTAATGACAGACAAGAATGGATTCTTTCTTGGAGGGTCATTCAAAGGGTTGGTTTATACTCTCACCAATGAGCAGTCACCACCGGAATATTTCTATGTTTCGACTTTCTTCATTTGCTTTAGAAACTTTGCCACGGGTATGGACTTGATAGAAGAGTTTATCGCTCGATTTGAAGCCAATCGCGGACAAGTTGACGATATAAACATGACATTAAGGTTGAAAAATCGAAGGAGATTGATTGTCAAAATGTTTCAATTGTGGATGGAGAGCTACTGGAATCAAGACGCGGATTATAGTCTCTTGACAACGATGATTAATTTTTTCAACGAAGGTGTGAGTCCCATCTTGCCACTTGACGCAATAGAATTGATTGAGATTGGGGCCAAGCTATCGACCAATCCTTTGATCGAAAACAGGGCAAGACGCACTAGACCAACAAAACAATTGGTCGAGAGAAATATAGTATTGAATCAAAGTCTGGGTTCATTGGACTTTCAATCGTTTGATGATGGTGGTTATGATTTGTCGAGAGTGAACTCAAATGCATCCAATACCCAATCTTTGCCGTTACCTTCGGGTACTACCCCTTCCAACACTTTACTTACCATGAGTCAGGTAGCAACTGTTGAGAAAATCATCATGACCTATAGATCAATTTTGAAGGACAGTTGGTGCTCAGCCAAGTACTTGTCTACATATAGACCATTGGACTTGTCCAACTTGTTGTCACATTTTGCCATCGTTTGTGAGCAAAATTGGGTTTTATCAAACTATAGGCCCAACTTGTTGGATTTCAATGCGTTGGAAGTTGCCAAACAATTGACCTTGATTGAGTCCAACATTTTTTGCTCAATCAAGCCTGATGAATTGTTGAATCAGAACTTCACTAATAAGCGAGCACACTTGAGGCTATCACCCAATGTTAGATTGTCCCTTTTATTCACCAACTGTTTATCCAATTACGTTTTGGAATCGATCCTACAACCCAACATAACAATGAAGGAAAGAGTCAACACACTCAAAGTCTGGCTCAAGGTTTCAATTTCGGCCCTTTATTTGCGAAACTTTAACAGTTTGGCAGCGATAATCACTGCATTACAAAGTCATTTGATTACGAGAATTGGTGACTTGTGGTCCACTTTGCTGCAGAAATACGTTGACTTGTATCAGTACTTGTCGTCGATCATCAGTATGGAGAAAAACTATTCAACTTATAGGAACAAGATTCGCAATCTATTATCTTCGGGAGAATCACTACCCATCGTGCCATACATCAATTTGTTCATCTCCGATATAACAACAACCACAGAAGGTATACCAAAGTATATCCCATCACAGAATTTCTTGTCAAGCAAGGTGATCAATTTCCAAAAGTACTCCAAGATTGTCAAAATTATTGCCGATTTGCAATCTTTGCAGAATCCGTATAGCCATGACAACCAGCATGGAAGTCTGGCAGAGTATAGGGTTCAAGAATTGCCTTGCTTGCAAGAATTGATTTTGTTGGAGCTTTGGAAAGTGAATATTTTACATAAAGTTGATGACGATCGTGGGTGGAAATTGAGTTGTGAGGTTATAAAGAAGTAGAAAAGAGGCGGGTCGGATATAGATTATGAAATGACTAAATCAAAATGAACCGAGAACTGTAAATGCCTTCTGTCGCATGTAATTTACAATTGAATGCGTCTTTTCCTTATCTCCAGCGCCGTTTCCCTTTATGAATGCTCAAAGTCGAAGCACAGTTGGCTCTCGTGGCAAAGCCGTAGGCAGTCCATTCTAATGACGCGCCATGCGCCCTCGGTGTCGAATTCCCTTTGCCCAGCTCTACTCAAAACATTTTGTCAAGTAACATCTGCACTTCCACTTCTCTCGTCTCACTCAATTCAGCGACTAGCAAGCAAATCGAACTGGCTCCAAACCTGTTTCAAAAACCGAGACAACCGTCCATGCCGATTCAATTCCAATTGCGCATTTTCCAAAAACTCACGCGATAGTGGCGGATTCGTCTCCCCAATTTGATAATTTTCACCAGCGACATCAACAACCACAGAAAAATTACGCTCAAGGTTGTTTGGATCAAGATTGAAAAACCCAAGTTTAATTTGAGTATCGTCTATAGGTTCAATTCTCAACCCGGTGAATAATCCATAGACCAACTCTACTTCAAGATGCGATTGCATGCGCTCCTCAAACGCTTCATTGGAAGACCTTAGCTCATCGTGTATCTTTGCAGCCTGTTGATTTAGTTTCTTGATCTCGTCCTCCACCTCCTTGACCGCTTCCTGTAGCTGGTTCCTTTCTTGATTATCTTTGACAACTTTCTCCTCATTTTCTTTTAAGCTCCTCATTGCGTCTGTCACTTGTTGCTGCTTGGAGGTCTCCTTGGATGACAAATTACTAATTTGTTTGCGTAGTTGATCATTAACACCCTTTCGTTCAATCGTTTGTTGCTGGTGTACATGCTTTTGATGAGAAAAGTCGGCTTGTTTATTCGTTAGTGCGTTGTCCAAACCCTCTAAGAACTGGTCCAATTCCACTTTCAAAGAATCAAACTCCATGAACCGGTTTTGAAGTCCCTCACATGCCAGGTCAATCTTGTTTTCAGTCGTCATGTTGGATCTAGGTGCGATTTTTTAATTTTAACACCCTCTGAAATGAATTCGTCTGGTGTGTCAGTTCCTTTTCTTTTTATAGATAGTACAGATAGAAGACCCGTTAGTGGTTGATGTATTTTAAGGAAGTCCCCAAATACAGCTTATGTCTAGTTGGATATCATGTATTGATTGAGGTTTTGTTTTGGTTTTCATAATTCTTGTACGTGTATACACGCCCACGCAAACATACAAAAATAGAAATTTGCGCTTTCCTGAACACACATACGCTTTACAAAGAAAGGCTTTCTCGAATCAGAAGTCTTGACTTCAAGTCACGCAAGTCTGGTCTCCAGTGTAAAAAAATCTATTTGATTGATGAATTGGTAACCTATACAATTAGCAATGCCATCACTCGTCAGTTTAAGAAAACGCTTTATTAGTTTAAATCAGAGGATTCTTTCCCAATACTCGAATCAATATACTGTGAATTTAGTCCTCCCTTGACCATTTTCATCAACACATCCATGACCGTGCCTGGAAACTGTTCAGCACAAACATCGAAGTACTTTTCGCTCGCGGGCACTGCCATTATGGATTCAAGTTTCACGATAGGAATCAATCAATGTCGCCATTTGAAATTCACTCCAAAGACATGCATCCTTTGATGATATAGATTCCCTGTAAATGTTGCTCCAACAAAGTACCAACTTTTCGTTTTCCACTAGTTGTACAATCAACAAATCATTTGCACTATTCTTTTCCTTGTTGACCATCATGCTCCTCTGTGTGTCTCTTTCTCATCAATCTCTTAATATTTTCAAATGCCTGATCACTAGTAATGTTCGATTCATAGCTGAAGTTTTTGCGCAAATAGTTCTCTTGCTGTTGCTTATACGATGGATCTCTCAAAATATTTCGCAAATGATTGTCAAAGTCGTCAGCCGGGATCAATTTTCCTGTCACTGGACACTTTATCTTGTCAGTCGAATCAGACGTCAGTACTACCTTGCCTGACCTGTCTACAGCAGTAAAATTGCGCTTTATTCTGGTTGTCCCTGCTGCCTTAATCTTCATTCCTTTGAATGGCGGGGGAGTTGTATTCTCCATTGGTGATTCCTCCAGACGATCAGCAGGTGAGAGAGCCTCAAGATTGTTCCCCTTTTCCTCCACACTCGAGGTCACCGGTTTGAATTTGGGTAGTTTTAAGTCCTGGTTTCTTTCGGTAAGAGATCGTTTTAGTAAATCGTCCCTCTTCAACGGCACGCTCAACTCCCTAACCGCGTCAATTGCATCAAATTTCACTGCTTCAACAATAGTAAAGTCTTGCCAATCAATCAGAGCAAAGTGTATTCTTTTTTGCTTCAACTGTTCATCCTGCTTTTTTCTTCGTACTTTGTTTTGCTTAAAATATAGGGCCCTCTCATATGCTTTAGTCAAGATTGCAAAGCTACCACTTTCCGCCTCCTTCAATGTGTTCGATAAGTCTTCTTGTATTTGGTGGGTAGAATCCGAGATAGCTTTCTTCACAGCTTCATATTGCTTGACATAGACTTGGAGTAGATTGTGCAAAGAGTGTTGTGGCTTGAGAAATTCGAATTGAGCGCCACGTCCCAAATCATGCTCGTGTTTTATGAGTTCCTTAATCTTGTCCCCGCCGTTAACAGCAATATACATAGCCGTCATCTTAATTATTTGTAAGTCCCTTTCACATATACTGGGGAAATCTTTTATCAAAAACTCCAAATCCTTTGGCTTTGGGATATCACCAGATCCAAAATTGGCGGAGGTTTCTGAATGGGCGTCTTTCTCCATAGTAGGCCCAAGCGAGACGGAATGAGATTTCAAAGCCCACAAATAATACTCGTGAAACTGATCATCTGGTTTCAAAAAGTTGAACTGATTGTTCTTGTTATTCTTCAACAATCTTTCTTCAAAAGTTTTGCCATTCTTTTGAATGTACAAAATAGACTTTTCAATAACATCTTTTATTTCTTTCGGAGGGATTGCAATGTTTTCGGGCACAGACGATGCCATCGATGATGTTGTGTTGAAGTGTTGAATCCTCACATCATACTTTTTATTTTTTTATTTTTTTTTATTTTTGTATTTTATTCTTATTTTGTAAAATTTGTTTGTACTTGTAAACCACTCTCTACAACAAAACTTTTAGTCTGTAAACGAGCTCTTGCAAACTTCCTTAAAAGAGGAAGAATCTGTAAAGGATGCAGAATAGAATAGATTTGCTAGTTCCTTACTAATATTCATGTGTGGTGGTGACGTGTATTGCTCCATGCACACAAAAGTTCTCAGTGTCGTGTCGCCATTGTCTCAATTTTGTGAAAATGACACCACCACTGCAACAACGCAAGACAAACTAACCTTGCACTCTCTTCACTTCTAAACCACTCACCATACGACGTGACAAAACATTTGGACACAGATGGCATCCGAACACGTTAAACGAGAGTCCATTAGGCTACTCACTTTCAACACTTGGGGTCTAAAATTAGTTTCAAAGTTCAGAAAGCAAAGATTGAGGGCAATTGCCGATAAACTAGCGGAACCGCAGGATGAAAATGACGACTATGACATTGTTGCATTGCAAGAAGTTTGGTGCGAGGAAGATTGGGAATATTTAGATCAAGTTTGCAGGAAGCGGTACCCGTTTAGACGGTTTTTCAAGGCGGGTATTATTAGTGGCCCAGGATTGTGTGTTTTATCAAAGGTGCCTATTTCAGAGACGTTCTTGTATCGATTTCCCATCAATGGACGACCATCAGCGTTTTTTAGAGGTGATTGGTTTGTTGGAAAAAGCATTGCCGTAACTATGTTTCAACAGCATCACCCTGGAGCTTTGCCAATAGCTTTGTTAAATAGTCACATGCATGCACCTTATGGTCATGGGGATGCAAGCTATTCAACCCACAGGGCATGTCAAGCCTGGGATTTTGCCAAAATAGTTCGAATGTTGAAAAAGGCGGGGTTTGCAGTAATTCAAGTTGGTGATCTCAATTCCAAACCTGAGTCATTGCCTTACAAAATATTCACTATCGAGGGAGGCTTGAGCGATTCGTGGAATGTATTGCATGGGGAGAAAATTATTCCTACCCAACAGTTGGAGCGATTGTCCCCAGAGGAGCAAGTGCTACATGGAGGAGTAACGTGCAACTCACGATTGAATACTTGGAGAAAAGAGAGGCCTATGACCGATGCTTGTCGACTAGACTACGCTCTTATAGATCCCAATTGTATAATCCCGCTAGATGCAAAAGTCAAGTTCACAGAAACGTTGCCCCCGCCGTTGAGGTGTTCGCTTTCGGACCATTTTGCATACTTTGTCGAATTAAAAGTGCGGCCAAGAGGCTCACAGTCGGATAAACTTGAGCTTCACTCAGCAGCACATAGAGAGGCAGTTTATAAAGAGCTACTCCTGGAAGTCAACCACTACAGGACTCACACAATACCGTTTCAAGCAGGCTGGAGAAAGCTTCATTTCATATTGTCCATTTTAATCGTGATTGGAATGCACGTTGCCATCGTGTTTGTTTCGAATGTCGCGGGATGGAGTTCGGTATTGTTTTTATTTGCAACATCCGTTATTCTTGTAACAGGCTTGTTGAATGGGTTGATTTGGGCACTTGGCGTTAGATCCGAACTGAGAGCACTTCAAGAGGTGACATTGGAAGTAAAAGATGCTTACGTTTATTTGAAAGATCACGCACACAATGACCAGTATTGACTTAGCTGTATGCTTAGGAAAGAGTTTGGAAGAAATTGTCAGTTGATTCGCATATTCTAGTAAGCATCTTTGTTTAATTTTGGTTTTGCAATATCCCACGGTCCCTGTAGCTCATTCTTGTATCTCTGTAGGGACAAGAAATACGCCGGCATCAATATAGTGGCAACAAACACCGACAATAACCAGTAAAGCAAGAACTTGTAATTGACAAGAATGTAGATCCAATAATTCACCAAAAAAAAAGTTGAACAAACAGTCACATAGTGTAGAGGCTTGAGCTTCTTATTCTGGCGTAAGCTTGCATCGTACAATGGTAACAAAATGTTAATCTGAACGGCAAAAAGCACAAATACAAAAACTTGCGAGGTTGAATCTAATCGCGACGCCAATACAATTGCGTTGCTGAGTGATATGTTAGTCGAAATGGTTGGTTTGTACACCACTGTTGAAGAATACTCATAAAGCACAGAGTTAACAATGCATAGAATCAGTGAAATCGCCCAAATAGAATCAGACGAAGTAGATTTTGTCAAGGATTTGAGTATTGGGGAAACAATCAACAACATAAACGATATTAATGTTAATGACTTCAAGTTCAAATTGGATCTTGAGATGGAGGGTAGTAGGTAGTGGTAGCGTAAAAGACCATATATGGTCACACAAGTGACTGTGCTGTAGACTGTTGGTTCAACTGGATCCCAACCTTTAGAATATATACCAATAAACATCAAGTTCACGAGTAATATGCACGAAATATAAAACACAATCAAAATAAAGTCTTCAACCAATTGAAAGAACGAATACTTCGCCACAGTGGTGTTTCTTTTCAATTGAGATAGAAATGATGCGTCGGTGTAGTTGTCAGGATATGGTTGTTTCAAATAAAGTAACTTTTTCCATGGTACTTTCAGGTCCGTTGTTGAACTTTGTTTTCGAGGACGTGTGGTGTATATTGACCCTGCCAAGTCATCTAATTCTAGTACAGGCACCCCATCAGCATCATTAATGAGGTTAGTTCCTCCCTCTACGTGACACCCCGTCATTCATTAACTATGAAAACTTTGTTAAGGAAAAAAAAATAAAATTCAACCAAACCAACGCACATGAAGAATAAAACTGCCATTTTGCCATGGTCAAGAGCACTTTTCAACCGTCGATAACAAGACACTCAAAGTTATTGAGCAAATTTTTAAGCGGGGATCCTAGTCTATATACTCTGCGGTAATGCTCCATATGGTTATGAGCTCTCCTACAAAGTTTTGAAGACCCGAAGACCCCAAAAGCTGCATTGTTCGAAACACTATACCACAACCTCATAAGAAAACATAGGGTAAAAGTTGGCAAAAGTGACGTTGAAGAGAAAAGCAACTACAGCAAGTCAAACACCAACGAGAGCATAGTGGAGGACACCGTGCTCGAGAGAGAGGTTAACGAAAACCCACCCGAGCCAATTGTTGAAGACACTATAGTCGAGAAAGACGATGCCAATTTACTGAAGGAGAAGGAGTCAAATAAATTCGCACGTTTCGGGAATCTCAAGGGATCAAAAGTAAGCCTGTTTCAAGATTCAAAGCTCTAAGGGAGAGTGCATCGAGTCCGACTAAGAACAAGACTCCTGAGAAAAAGAAAGCCGAAGGCGTCCTAGACAGTAAAAGTGTCAATGGCACCACGCCCAATGCACCACAATTGGACTGCAGTAACATGCAAGACATTGATACAATGGCGAAAGCCTACCTGATGGGAATGTATGACGATGACGTCGACGTGGAAGGTCCATTAGTCGAGGACTTGAAAGATTTCGAAAAGATCAACAAGATTGTTGAATCGAGGGATAGAAGAAAGGACCAACTAATTGGCTCTACTGGAGGAGAGACGTATGACAAAAAGTCTAATGAAGTGGGAATGGATTACGAAGACACTGCAGATATAGATGATTATGACGAGAACGAGACAATGATGAACGACATAGAGGAGCACGAATTTGATGAAGATGTGCTTGGTGAAGCTAATGATGAGAACGAGATTACCAATCAGGAGCTCAGCGACAGCTATCATAGGATGAGAGAGAAGATGCTTTTGAGAAACAGAGCGAATCAGGAAGAACAAGGATTTGAGCCCACGGATGAGGAGGGAGCCCCTGTCAGGATTAGCAAGTTCAAAGCAAGAATGAATAAGTAGATTGTCTAGTAATAGTACGCTGGATAGCAGCGTCCATGTTTCATTAGTGAAATAATAAACCTTGTTACTTTTGCGAAAAAAAAAAGACGCTACCATCTCTGGTTTGATACTTGGTTGCAAAACCAGCAAGAACCAACGAGTGCATCAAAACCAAGTGCATGCACAAGCCACAATGCATCAGTGTCGACAGCAGAATGAGAAAGGAGCACTATATGAACCACGGGTAGACTTTCGAGACACGCGTTAGATTTTCGAAAGAGCACTATATACTTCCACATCTGATGAATCCAACATCCCACCACCACAACAGCAGCCCATGACGAGGAGACCAAGTTGAGTTCATTTGAGAAAATGGTGCATGCCAAATCAGTGACTGGTGTGAGAGAGCTTTACATTGAATCGTTGAACAAGTCCAACTACTATGATCAGTTCGTGACAAGGAAAGTTGCTGAGACACGTAAATCTGTCCCACAAAGGAGAAAAGATGCAATGGATATGAAGTTGAATCCTTTGGAAAGTTTGCAAGTTGAACATCATTGCAGGAATGATGACAATGATGGTAGTGGCAAAGTTGAGGATTCCAATGAAGCATCTGGTCCGGGACCGGTTAGCACTGTTGTTGATAATGTTGAATCTGTGAATGAGTACATTGTTAGTGTTTCCGGTAATGAGAGCAATGAAGATGAGGTGAATGGTTCATTAGTGATCTCTCCCATCAGTGGAATTGAAACCCCAGTCACTCAAGCTCCCCGCAATTGAGCCAATTGAAAGGGACGTTGAAGCAGCTGTGAAATCTGGCAAGAAATGGAAGAAGTTTTGCTTAAAGGTCAAAACATTTGGGAGTGATATTGGCAAACCGTTCAAGTCCCATAAGGCCAGAGTTGAACCTGACTTGCAAGTGTCTGAGACATGCAAGAAAGCGTCTGGTGCCCTAAGGAGGCATGTGAGTCCACACTTGAAAGCGCTCTTTTCAAGGAAGAACAAAACGGCAAAGCAGAGTTGTGAATCTGCGGTTTGTGGTGAGGAGAACAACCGTCCTTCTGTTTCCCACGTTCTATCTCCCTCTGTGTCCCATGTTCTCTCACCATCTGTGGCAATTTTTGAAGAAGGGAATAACCCAATTGCTGCCAATCCCGCCTTACCTCCTCGTCGTGGTGTCCTTGTGCCCGTTAATCTTGTTCAAGATGACACTTTGAGTCAAACAGGACCAAGTGATATGACACCTGACGTCTTTGTGGCAGATAGTTGCCACAAAAGCAACGTGAAGAAGTTCAAGTGGAAGAAGTTGTTTCGTATCAAAAGGATTAGTGATGAATATGTGAACAAACCACCTGCTGATGCTGCCGCTGCTGTGAAGCTGCCTATCAAAATGATTATGAAACGGGTTGAGAAGCTGGTGGTGAAGGAGTATGTGAAGAAGGCATTGACTGATTTGTTGCCATCATGGATACGACACGGATGGCAAGAAGAGCGCACAATAGGAACTAACTTGAATTGACCATCTCAAGTAAAAAAGAGACACCGTATACCAATAGACTTGACTTGATATGAACAGATTATGATACCGTCCTTCAGCATTCAATCTGAGCAGACTACAATGGTGTTGCCAATGAACATTCATCTGCCACAGTCCCACGTTCCTACTTAAATTGATATCTGAATATTGTGATCCAGTGTTGGTGCACAATAGTTTATGTGCTGAGTAGCTTGTCTTCACAATAGGAACTGATCATTCTTCAAGTATTCAACTAAGTCTGTCGTACTTCCAACTGTCCTGTACCGTAGACAATGTACAGCTCACAAAGAACAAAAGCGTTTCTCTTGATCACCGCAGTTGCTCATTACAGCAGGTACTCACAATCGAGCTTCTCATAACCCCTGTGTTTGATGAACAACAGTCCTCTCTCGTCATTTGGTCTCTTCCTGCAGGGCTCCTTGACTTTTGTGAGATAGATATAGGGGTTGGACATTAACTCCACCATAGGTCCCAACCCAAAGTGCGTGCAACTGAATTGCAACTCAAACAACCAGCTTGAGCTTCTCCAAGTGACAACGAACTTCAAACGTGTGAGCAAAATGACGTCCTCAAGTGAACAAGGACAATGCACTGCATCTGACACATATTGGCTCGCTTCAACACTCTCTTAACCGCCCACCTTTGATGTTCTCATGTTGCAATCTCCGTGAATGAGATGCTTTAGGTGTTCTTTATCGAAAACACGTTGCACTTACTGGAGCGGGTGAATGTTCTTGAATGGTTTCCGCTACGCCATTGGGTTGTAAATGTACCTTCAATCCAAATAATACCAATGCAGTTAGTCCCTGAGATGTAGCAACAGTGGTGTGTCAACTCATTTTATGTTCAGTCGTCCCCTCTGTTCTTCTTCTACACCTTGCTTTAAATTGGTGGTCCAAGCTCCCCGAATCCAAAACCAATCGTCAACGACTGCGATGGACGCAGTACATTTGGCCTATATGTTCTTTCCAAAAGCCAAGGACTCTAACTGGGAAATGATGCTTGCAGAATGAAGCTTATAAGTGTGTGTAGCAGCATGGTCTTCTTACCCCTTGAGTGTCGTGTAGTCATTAGTTTTCCTTGAAAGTGGAAAACGAGACTTACATATGAGAAACCAGATCCTAACACGTACTAATCAGTCTTGATCGTATACAAGGTCAATATTGTCATTCAGTTCTGAACATTCACCTAGCCTTGGATTATAGCATACAAGTAAAGTAGAATATCCAAAAATGAGCGGTGCCCCCATAAATCCGACCAAATCGAACAACTTGGCTGTGCCGAGACCACAACATTCGTACTCGACTTCGCTAGCATCTAATATATCACCGCAGCACTTTCTCACTACCAGCAACAGCAGCAACAACAACATAGCAAAAACAAATTCCAGGTCAGGACTCAGCAGTGCGTATAGGCTATCCAGAAGCAATACCAATACGACCTCGGACGCGTATCTTGCCAACCTTGATAACCAAAGTCTTCAAAGTATAGATCAAATTCCTAGTGCCAAGCCAAGTGTTACGTATCTGGACAAGTTGTGGACACAAATTGATGTATTGGATGATGTTAAGCGCATGGCAGACGAATCAAAGATAAGAGACAGGCTATTCAATGAAAAATATACTGAACAGTTGGCAAAGTTGAAGGAACTGCAGGATCAGCTACTACAAACAATGTCAGCGTTGCAAATCGAGGATACAAATACCAACGAGGTCCAGAAGCAGCAGTTATATCAGTTAAAGACGACTGAAATAGAAGGTAGAGGCGTGAATGCCACTGACGATACAGCAGGTCCATCCCGGAATGATAATCATTCGGAATCGTCACACTTACTGGAAACGAACCAGGATAGCGACGGGAAGGAACTGACTACATCAAATAAAGAGATCGAGTTGAGTGTTAAAGAGCAAGCAAAAATCGACAAATTTTTTGCTGCTCATGGTGAAGAATACAATTCCAATGATGATGAGGAAGATGATTTCCAGAGTCAAACAATTTACAAAAAGGAAGTTTTTGATGAGATTAATAGATACGTTCAGCAGGTAAAACAAGACTTGCGTGGATTAAGTGATGCAATGAAGGAGTGCACTAGTAGTGGTAGTAGTAAGGATAGAACGTGAGAACTGTCCTTAAAAAATGAGAGCAGGGGGGGAAAGAATATTCACTTGAGTTTAGAACCTAAGCGAGACGAAATGGATGAAGTATGGAAGTACGTAATGACGGAAATGGGCATTCTATGCCTGTTTTTCAGCAATTGAGTTCTATATGTACGGTCTACGATAATCTATATCAATGAACTTGTTCCTCGGTGGCGTTCGAGCTTGTAACATGACATAACAACTCTAAAAAGGATTTGAGAGTCTAAAATGTATTGTCACTGTTGAAACTGTTTTGCTGCTCCATCGTGAATAAGCTTTGATGCCTGTTTGATGACATTGTTGGAAATGTTGTTGGGAAAGAGGCGGTTCTACTGGTGTTGTGAAATTGCATTTTTATTTCTACATCTCTCAATATATTTGTTAATGATTTCATGTCATTTGCTCCAACTTTCCTGTTAGTCGGAGAAACCCCACCTTCTGTGTTGATGTGTAGCTTGATCCTTGTAATCCTCTCTCTTGTCCCGTATTGACGATCTTTTATGCGTTGTATAGTCGAGTAATCCTTCCAAAATGGACAAGCTTACGATCATCAAAAGGATGTTTGAAATAGAAATAGCTCAATCGATGCGAAGTGTTGCATATGAGAGATCCCTTCACCAGTTTGTCAGCCACAAATACAACAGAAGATACTTCGCAAAGTGAACTTGGTTGAGCAGAAAGCAGCGCAAGTATTAGAATTATAGATCTAAACAAGAAGCAAAGTATAGTGACAACAATATCTAAAAGTGACAACTTCATGGACACAGGGAAACTGCATGACACAACAACAGGGGTGACAAGATTATTCGCGTATCATCATTGGTCTTGATGTAGGAGCAACGGTCAAGTATTCTTCCGCCTCGTCACCCAAGTCATCTTCACCCAAATCCAGACTAACAAACGACTGGTTGGCCAGACCAGACATTCCGCTAGAATGGGTGTGCAACGACATCAAGCTTTGAAGCTTTTCTCCATAAATCTTGACCCCCGAAACAAATCTCCGGACTCTTGCTTTGAACATCTTCATTGGCGTGTCCGCCATATACCTGGAATCGGGTCTCCACTCTTCTTCTTCTTCTTCATCGTCATCATCCCACAAGTCACACCGAATTGTCGTTGCATATTCCCCCCGCATAGCAGCTGGACAGACATCTTCAGTATCTTCCTCCTCGTCCAGATCCAAACCAAGCTGAAGCGCAACACGTCCTGATTCTGTGTCGGGCGAGAATATTGGAACCACTTCGTCTGTAATGTACTCACCAGGAACCCATCCAGTCCTCTTCAAGATGCTGGGCTTTCCATCAATGTTTGTTGTTGGTGCTTTCCTCTTGGATCCCCAAGACCACTTCCTACGAAGTTTCTTGTCCTTGTTCTTCCCTTCGATAACTCGAGTAAAGTCCTGATGCTTGTCATTGCTAAACTGACGCACCTCCATCTTATTATTGAACTTCACTTTGTTACCACTGTCTGACTCACCACCAATGAGCAACACTTCTGGGGTCCATTTCATTGGGGCTGGTGGTTGAGGTGGTCTGTAGTTAAGGATTGCGTTTTCTATACTGGAGATGGACCCATTCTTTGATTTGTCCCCATTTGGGTCACTCACTGCAACAGCAGCTTCAACGTCATCTTCGCCGCAATCGTCCCATGGAGTGGCAAATCTTCGGACTGGTCCCGTGACAAGGCTAGGCGTGGAAGACATCTTTGGTTCATCTGAGTTGATCTTGTTGTACTTCAGCTTCTGCGCGGTCAGTGGTTTTCGTGGGTTGAATGACGAGACTTGAGGATTGAAACAGTTGGTGGAGGTGTTTTTGTTGAGAATGCTCAAAGTGGATGGCAGAAAGCTTGTTTGGTTTTGTTTTGGTTGTTGTGTGTGTCTCTTGGTCCTAGCAAGCATCATTTTTGAGGACTCAATAACCATCGACGTATCATTCTCGTGCTTGTCGTCGTCCTTGAAGTCTAGTGGGTAGAATGAGCCCCCTTTAACAACGCCAACGTCTTCATCCTCTTCTCTTCTCATCTTGGACTTCGTCAACCTTTTACTTGAGAAGTCATTTGATCCGTGTTGATGTTTGGTGAATGCGCTTTTGGTATGGGTAGTTGTATTTGAAACATTTGATGATGTAGACTGGGAAAAAACGGGGTAGAATGCGGTAGCTTTGTGTTGGCTCTTGACAGTTCTGGTTTCAGCTGAGAAGTGAGTGTTTGGATGTGCTTGAGTGGGTGGTGCTGATGTCTTGTTCTTGTCATCAACATATGAAACCAAATCCTTCAACTCCGACAATGCTGATTCAATCAAAGTAAACCCGTAGTCATCGTTTTCCTTACTGTCGGATACGTAAGCGTTGTTGAAATGAGAAACGCCTTGGCCCTCTTGCGAGGAGATAGTGATAAAGCTGTACATGTGTAAATGTGGTTTTGGTAATGGTGAGGAGAAAGAAAGGAGGAAAGTACAATTCAGAATCTGACTTACTCCCTGGGCCCTTTTATAGTTTTCAAAAGTTTGTAGGAATATCAAAAAAATTTTGCACCCTTTTTGAAGGCTTTTTGAGGTACGCAAAGAGTCACTGTAGCTTGATGGATAGTAAGCCCTTGGTAAGTGCCCCTGCCTATGTTCAAGCTGGGAGGGCTGATCTGGCCTGTGCATATGGAATTAGGCACTCTAAGTTTACGGGGTTATGCAGGTTGGAAGTTCCTGTAACGTTTTGTTCCAACAACACGTGACCAAAGTGATGAGTCCATCTGCGTCTTAGATGATGATCCAGAAACACAATGGCGCGGATCTGTCACCAATATCAGAGACCTGAGGGTAGTAGCGTGCTGTATAGGGACATTCACTTAATTCTTCTAGCTGTTCTTGTTTCAAACACATTGATGCAGTATCGGAAATGTACTGTAGACCTGAAATGAACACGCGATTGGGCGAATGTGACCTTCCCGAGTAGTAGTCAAGATCAAGGTCAATCTGCTGTGGCCATAGCCAAACCTCTCGTTCCAGAGTCTGTACTTTCCAACCCCAACGAGCTTGTTGTATGCATGAACTGTGAATGTACACCTCCAAAACAAAGGAAACACAAAGGAAAAACAAAGGAAATGGAAACTCATCTATATTCGAACCTTCATTTGCGTATCATAGAACGGCCGGTGGGACACAATGCAGTCCCACTGTACGACGGCTATGGGTGGAAAGTCACCAATGATAGATCTGTCTCTTTGATGCTCAAATTTTGTAAAGTATTGACAGTCTATGATCTCTGTATCGTGAAGCTTGAAAGTCATTATGAGCCATTACAGAAGAGTGGGTACAGAGTGAGACCTGAGGAGTAACACTGCGGTGTCGAGGTGGCAAGACAATGGGACTCGTGTATGGAGAGTTGACCGGTGGCTAAGTAGTAGCTAGGCAGGAGATGGGCTCATTTCTCTGAGTAAACAAAGTCAAGAATAAATGGAAGCTGCGGGAAAGAGCCGTGCTAGTAGTAGTGGGCCATGTGTGAGGCGGTGTCATTGATACTGAACCCAAAGGATGGCTGAATCATTTGGAGCTGCGTCCTTGTGTGGGAGGGGAGAAAAATAAACCACGCAGACGGCACACACACACACACCAAAAAAGGAGCAACAGCTACCACGCCATAAAGAACAAAGCGATTGTGCAAACAGCACCAATACCTCTCCTCTGTTGACTAGAGCAAGCTTCGCATCCAGTTGGCTTACAACAAGCAGTCAGTTTACTCGATGTAGTATGACACTACTTTTGGACATAACACGTATTTCCACATTTGGATGCAAGTTTGTGAAATTCCACAATTCCTAGATCTACTCTGTCTATGACAGCTAGTCAAGATTGGTGTATACACATGTTGCAAGTGTAGCTGATAGATTCTATGGACACCGGCTTACACAGATTACTGCATGTTTATACAACTGTTGTGTCGCGTGCAAGTTGCGACACGTAATTTGAAGTTTAGGAAGGTCGTACTTTTAAGCTCTGTTTATGGGCTGTACACCCCTACAAAAGTTAATGCTCTTTATATTAAGATCAGTAACTTCCCTTTGAAAATCTGTTGTAAGGGAACAACAGGCGATGCATTAACGTCAGTTTGGTCTGGTCCATGAAAAGGAGTAGCAGCAGATTCAGAGTCAGTGACTCTAGCAGAAGACATGTTATATGTATATAGATTATGTAATTACCTTTGGATCAGGTTTATTTCTTAAAGATTCAAAAAAGATTATTCCCTTAAGAACAGATTAAGATTGGGAAATTCAATCCCTATTTATAGTGTTGATGAAAAACTGCGCACAAGGGATGAAACACCCTCGTTGGCTTGCTGGCAATAGAGCTCCTTCTGAAGTTCACCAGTGCAAGGATTTTTCTGTAAAAGACAAGACGTTTTGAGCATGTAGTAAGGCAGCCTAGGTAAGTTGTTTGTCATCACAGAAATCTTGGCTAACATACAAAGCTTGTATTAGCTCTTCTCAATAAAACACATCATAATTAGCTCCTATTCAATAAAGGGCACCTATGCCTTCAACACACTTTCGAGAAATTAGTGTTGGAATTTCTGTGCCTTGTTGAGTTACACAAACACTAAAACTTGAGCTGTTTTTCCGAGACTTGTAATGCTCAGTCTAACAGTGGTTTCCACCAACAAACATCGTATGAGAAACTAAAAGTGCTTACAGTGTGGACGAATCACCAGGTTCATGAAATGCAAGAGCGTTTGTGAGTAGACGGTGCTTAATAAAATGGCTCACTCATGAGATTATGATATGATCAGATGATATATATATATATATATGTGTGTTTATCTGTGCGTGTGCGTGTGTCTGTGTCTGTGCATGTGTGTACTTTTGCACAATTTCGGACTTCAGTTGTTCCGATATACTTTTATTTATTTTTTTTCTCTTTTCTTTTCTTTTTGGAGCACAGTTATTGTACAACTTAATACCAACTGTACGCGGTTGTACTTTGTTGTTGATAATCTCGAAAAATTTTCCAACAAAGAACAAGCTGTACATCTACAAACAATCATAGATCGCAAAAACTATACTGTACAACTCATTGGACACTTGTTTTTGCTATCCAAAACATTGCCCACCATCTGACTACTACATCACATAGCAGCAGTATTCACACTTTGTATTTTAAATACTTGCTCACTTAATTGCGCAAATAGATTCCAAGCATTCTTCTTCCATGGTTCACTTAGGTCCAAAACCCCCACAACACAGAAAGGGGACATTCACAGATGTGTCACCAGAACTCTTACTGGTGCTCAAGCAATTGGAACAGGAGTTTTCCGTCAGTGGTGAAACATTGAGAAAAATTGTCAACCATTTCATTACCGAATTAGACAAGGGTTTGTCGAAAAAGGGAGGTAACATCCCCATGATTCCTGGCTGGGTGATGGATTTCCCCACTGGTGAAGAAACTGGAGATTACCTTGCTATTGATTTAGGTGGAACCAATTTGCGAGTCGTGTTGGTTAAATTGGGAGGTAATCGAGACTTTGATACTACGCAATCGAAGTTCCCACTTCCGGAGCACATGAGAACGGCCAAAAGTGAGGAGCTTTGGTCTTTTATTGCCGATTGTTTGAAGAAGTTTGTGGATGATCTTTACCCTCAAGGTTGTAAAGAGCCATTGCCCTTGGGCTTCACATTTAGTTATCCCGCTAGTCAAAACAGCATTACTGAGGCGGTATTGCAGAGATGGACAAAAGGTTGGGCCATTGATGGAGTCGAAGGTAAGGATGTTGCTCCAATGTTGCAAGATGCTATACAGAAAGTGGGTGTTCCAATCAAAGTTGTTGCTATAATCAATGACACTGTAGGAACTTTGGTTGCTTCAAGATACACTGATCCAGAAGCTAAGTTGGGGTTGATTTTCGGAACTGGGGTTAATGGAGCTTACTACGATGTTGTCAAGGATATTCCCAAGTTGGAAGGGAAAACAGCTGACGATGTGGACCCGGATTCTCCAATGGCCATCAATTGTGAGTATGGGTCTTTTGATAATGAATTGGTGGTTCTTCCAAGAACCAAATATGATGTTAGAGTAGATAAGGAATCTCCAAGACCTGGCCAACAGTCATTCGAAAAGATGAACTCGGGATACTACCTTGGCGAACTTTTGAGATTGGTATTGTTGGACTTGGCTGAAGAAAGACATCTCATTTTCAAAGGACAAAACTTGGACAAGTTGAATGAACCTTATATTTTGGACACCTCATTCCCAGCCAAGATTGAAGAAGACCCATTTGAGAACTTGGAAGACGTTGCCGAATTGTTTCAAGCTCAATTGGGCATTCAAACTACTGTTCCTGAACGTAAAGTGATTCGTCGTATTGCTGAATTGATCGGTGAAAGATCAGCAAGGTTGTCAGTTTGTGGAATTGCTGCCATTTGTAAAAAGAGAGGATACAAGACTGCACATTGTGCCGCTGATGGCTCGGTTTATCAGAAATACCCGGAGTTTAAAACTAGAGCAGCAAAGAGTTTGAGAGATATTTTCGAATGGCCAAGTGATTTGAAGGAGGATCCAATTGTTATCGTTCCAGCTGAAGATGGTAGTGGTGTTGGTGCTGCCATTATCGCCGCCTTGACTGAAAAGAGATTGAAGGAGGGAAAGTCAGTTGGTATCAGAAAAGATTAAGAGACATTGCAACTGTTGTTGATACAGTCATGATGTATTAGATATTGAGTTGACTCTGTATACACCTGTATATATAAATGCTTAGTACAAGTCTGATTACAATTGAACAACAGCTTGTAAATCAGTTTCCAACCTATATCCTGTTAACTTCCTTAAACCTCTCCAACAACTCATTGACCCTCTTTCTTCGTAGCGATAGTTCGCCTTTAACCTCGGAACCACCTCCAGTTCCACTACCATCGCTACCCACAACCCCTTGAACCCCACAAACAGTCAATCTATTCCTCAATGTCATAAACGTACTCGACTGTGGCAAAATCATCAATATGCCATACAAGGTTTTGTACAAAAATGGGTAATTTTCCGGTTCGAGCAATTGTAATCGCAATTTAATGAATATTGGCAGCTCCAACAACTGAATAAGGACGTCCAACTGGGTGAGTAGTTGAGATGTGGCTTCCACCTCAGACAAATTCTTTATTATTTGATACGACAATTCATAATTTGACGTTAGTAAGCATAAAGCAATGGCACTGGGAGCATTAAAACACCAACTTTTGAACAATGTGGCAAATAAGGACCAATCCTTCAGTGATGTAGTCAAGTCTAAAGTTTTCAACTTTTTTCTAAATGGAGCCAACTCACTGGATGTGAGGAGTATATTGTTTAGAGTCACAATCAACATATTGGCGAATTCTAACTTGGATTGATCAGGTATCTCCAGATCTTGTATATTGGTTTTCTCGCTACTCCGACGCAATTGCTGATTATCGTGTTGATCCAGATTTAGCTTTTGATGCGATGACTTCAGTTCCCGCTTTTGTTCTTGCTGCTGCTGCTCTTGCTGCTGGTGATAGTGTTGTTGCAACACTTCCGACAACGTAGTGAAGATAATTTCCGAGTTCAAGCAAAGACATAGCTTTCTAATAATGAATTCAATTTTGATGGATTTCTCATAACCCTCCACTTGAATCAATTTCAACAACTTGACAATAAAATCTTTGAAAAATTCCGGATTCGATTCCGAGATCCTCGCCAACAATTGCAACACTTTGAGTATAACTTCGTTGCTTGTGTCATACTTGAGCAAATCAATCAATTCAAACTTGTAAGTAGATTGAAAGAATTTCAAAAAATCAACTGGATTATGTTCGTATATGAAGATTAGCCATTCCAAGGAGGTGATTCGTGAAAGTTCGTAGTCACTGGTGCCATTTGCTCCAGCCATGCTGGTTGATATAGTTGCCATTGACGACGAGACTGGCTTCAAGTACTCATTGATGATGGCCGATAATGTTTGTGGCAACTGTGTTGAGTTGAACTTGGTCATACTTTCATCATTGACTCCATATAGTTCAAACAAGGACACATCGTCATAAACTTTGCCCAAAAACGCTTGCAAACTGAAGCTGACATTGATAAGCTGGTTTTGCAATTCAAGATCTTGGGTTTGTTCCGTAACAGTTATGTTTTTCAAGATGACTGAGATACACTCTGGCAAAGCAATGAGTACATCTTGTGGCGAAACATCAATCAATGCCTGTAACCATTTCAAAGCAATAAACTGTACGTCACAATATGTTTCTCTTGAGTCAATGAGAAGATCATTCTTGGCAACCGTTTCTTGCTTTTCAAACTCACGCAAAAAGGAAACCAAAATGGTAATAATTTTCAGGTACTCGATGTAAATGTCTTGACCAAAGGGCACTTCATCCAGTTCTTTATCTTCCTCATCGTTAATGCCCACTCCATCTAAATTCAACTCTGTGGAATTTTGAATGGACAATGAGGTGTCCTGTTTCTTGTGAATGATGGTTGTATCATAAGACTTTATACTTGATTCACCATCATCATCAACAGCATCTTGACTCTCCTTTGCAGTTTTATCCTCGTTCTCTTCTTTGGAGCTCTTGTCCTCATTTTTTGGCTTTCCAAACTCGTTCAATTTTTTCCTCACTCCACTCTCACCATCCTTTCCCTTACCCTCAGCTTCCTCTGCCTTCTGTTCCTTATCCTTTTCTTTCTCCTTTTCCTTCTCTCTCTCCTTCTCCTTCTCCCTCTCCTTCTCCTTCTTTTCCCTTTCAATTTCTTGTTCTCGCAACTTGCGTTTATGTTCAATCTTGACTCTTGAAATCCCCTTGATCTCCTTCAAAAACACATTCAACAAANTCCTTCTCCTTCTCCTTCTCCTTCTCCTTCTCCTTCTCCTTCTCCTTCTCCTTCTCCTTCTCCTTCTCCTTCTTTTCCCTTTCAATTTCTTGTTCTCGCAACTTGCGTTTATGTTCAATCTTGACTCTTGAAATCCCCTTGATCTCCTTCAAAAACACATTCAACAAATTCTGTGTCTCCAACTTGATATCACTAGGTGAATTATTTAAAATGAATCGGACCAAAGGTTTCAAAAAACTAGGCAAAAAGGTAATCAACTCCAAGTTTGGTATATCATCAAACAATTCAAGCCAACTGAGTAGAAACTTTTTCGTAAATGGATCAACGGTATACATTCTCTCCAACAAGGTCGGCATAAATTTGGGTAACAGGAATGCCTTTGCTGGGTCCTGGGGGTTGCTCAACTGCATTATTTCATCGCTTCCCTGAGACCTCAACAAATCAGCAAACGCCAACTCTCCCAGATCAGGCTGTTGCTGGAGTGATGTTTGTCCTTGTCCTTGTCCTTGCCCTTGTCCTTGTCCCTGTTGCTCTTGCAAATTTTGTGCATACCTCTGTTGTTGTAATATACTCACATAGCTCGTAGCTTTCGCACTAATAATGTCCTTGACCAACCTATCCAAGATATCGGCTGCATTCTTAACACTGCTCTCAGCATCACTCACCAAGATGCACAACACGTCGAAAACCTCATTAATGTATAGCAAAATCTCTCCTCTGGCAATCTTGGCGACATTGTACAACGACTCGCATGCATAATATCGCACACGAGCATCCGTATCGCGAAACGTGGCGAAAATGGGTCGGATTATATCGTCAAGAAAGTAGGCAATTGCAAAAGAGCCCACTGCTACGGAAACGCTCCCCAATGCTGTAATGGCACCCATTTTGGCCGAGTTGGACCCACTGGTCATGGTCATTGTTGTTAATTCGTGAATGATGCGATATATTGTTTGACTATCATTTCGACTTAAGGCAGACTTTGTTAGTGATTCAATTTGGAATGCAGTGGCTTTTCGCTTCTCGTAGATATGGTTGGAAAGGTCCTTGATTATCGATTGGTCGAGGACCGGCTGTTGAGTTGAAGGCGCCATTGAGTCTCTTGAAAAAATGGGGGGATGTATGGAGAAATACTGATACTACAGTTAAGTGGGATACCGACAAATTTTTATTTCGCTTGTTGTAACAATACACGCGCATACAAATACAAATACAATACACACAATACAAAACCAACCAACTTTAAAAATTCATTACATTAATTCATTACATATATATACTTTCTTTCCCATTTTTTCAATCCACTATTTTTCTCTTTTTAGTAGGTGAAGGAGAAACATTTGACAAGTGCCCTTCAACAACTGAATCAGAAGGTGAAGGGATATAAGCGGATCTGCTGGGAAGAATTCTTTGTAAATCAACAAGTCCCAGTTCTGAAATTTCATCAGCAGAAGGCAATTGTATGTGGAAGTTGATGTACAAGTTTCCACGACGGAAGTTTTCATGACTCCGTGTCACATTCTCAACATACAATGGATCTTGTCTATCATTAGGCTGAACAATCTTGCCGTTGTTTGCTAGTAGCTCGGTGTTTATGGGCATACCCAAACCATGTATCACTTTCGGCTCATTGGTATTTATTGTACCCACTACTTCCCCCTCTAGTACTTTTTCACTATTGATTGATTGATAGCCATGACAATTTATGTATATCTTGAGAAATTGGCCCACACGTAGAAAATTGGGCACCATCACCTCCCCTCCCATTAATGCAGTCTTTAAATCCAATTCATAATTCATAAACAAGTCGTTATTTTTGCGCACCAAGTAAGAATGAGGCTTTTGTCGAAGTTCAATAATTAAGTCGCCAGGGATAATGTTTCTGCCTTCATCGGACTCTCCCTTGACAATGATGATATCACCGGACTTGGCGCCTGGTGGGACATAAACTTGGATAATTTTGGTTTCCTCAACATACCCTCCATCACAATAGATGCACTTGTCCTCTGGCCTCATGTAAATACCAGTACCCTGACAAGCCGCACAGGAGCTCGTTTGTTTATACTGTGCAAACTGGTTATATTGAATAATCATTACTCTTCCCAGACCAAGGCATGTTTTGCACGTCTTGACATTCAACCCTCCACATCCATCACAGCGTAAGCATTTAGTGATTTTTGGAAGTGAGAGTTTGACAACCTTGCCATACATTAAATCGTGTAGCGTGACGTCACAACAGTGATGTATATCATCACCATGGACTAATTGGTTCTGTAGTGGCTCTCCATATGGTTTCACCACCTTCTTCATTGGTTGTTGTTGTTGTTGTTGCTGCTGCTGCTGCTGCTGTTGTTGCTGAAAACCAGATGCACGGCGCATGTGTTCAAAAGGGGATGTGGTGGACGAATGTGATGATGAAAAAAATGAATTTGAATTGGAAAACATTGAGTTTATATCATCAAACACTTGGGTAAACATATCGTTGGCGAATGGATGTTGGAAGTTGCGTCTGCTGCTGCTGCTGCCGCCGCCGCCCCCACCTGCACCTCTTGATGTTGCTGATGCTGTGTAGAAATGGCGAAACTGTTGTGGGGATGCATTGTACAGTGGCGACTCATCAGCAACCACAACCAGGTCTAATCCTTCCTCTCCAAACTTATCATAAACTGATCGTTGTTTGGAATCTTTGAGAACTTCGTAAGCTCTCGTCATTTCTTTAAACTTTTCAGTCAACTGTGGATCATGATTAGTCTTATCGGGGTGGTATTTTAGTGCTAGCTTTTTATATGCTCGCGATATTTCTTCAACAGTAGCTGTGGATGTGACTGAAAGGGTATCGTACAAGTATGTTTCCCTCACCATGACCGACAAATAGGCGAACTAATGTGTTGTGAAGCTGAATAAAAATCTTTGATCTTTCTAGGGGCGATGTCGTCGTATGTGGTTGCCAGGTGAACGAAATCGACGTATATCAGACTTTGTGTGCGGTGATTAGAAGTGACTTGTTCAGAAAGACAGTTGACAAAGGGCGGGTGGAGTCGTGTATGACTTTTTGCCTTTGGAGATGGATATACATATATATATATATATATGTATGTATGTATGTATGTATGGGGTGTGAAAAGGTTCCTATCTCCGCGCCTACCTCTGGCTGAATAATGTTCCTTTTCTTGTGATTTGCCAGTGTGTATGTAGATTGGTTAACTCTTCACTTCTGAATATGTTTGACTGTACGTGGGTGTTTGGCAAAGTAAGAATGACAAATGAAGTGAATATATTTGGATGTAGTAATAGTTGGAGAGGTGGGTTTGTAACTGGTGGACCAAACAANGACAAAAGACAAAAGACAAAAGCAGGAGGAAAAAGGAACCCGACAGTTTTTTTTATATTTATTATTTTATTTTTTTTTCTTCCTTTTCTTTTCACTCTTTAACAAGAAACAAAAAAAAAAATAAAACTCTCAACCTCTCTGACCAACATTCCTTCCCAAAGCTCAGGCACACTCGTATACACACCGTCGGCTGACTTCTATACTATCTACTTTCTTTATCTAGCTCCTTAACCAAAATAAGGAAAAGCAAGACAAAGAGAGAGAGAGAGAAAAAAGAAGAGGAGACCAAGAGAAAATAAAACTGCAGTCTCTGTACCACCACGCAAGAAAAGAAAACAGACGACACCGTCATCAGTCAACTCACACACCAACACCCAAAGCAAAGCAAAGTAAACAGCAATTACTGTCTACTTCAACGACTTTACCACCAACTACTTTTCAGATTATCGCTTTAACCTCTTCTACACTGGAAACAAACATTTGTTTTTTTTTTCACCAACTCAATTTCATTTCATATTCTTCGAGCAAAGAGAGGGTAAGAATACCATTAGATGACACTACACGTTATACGATACGCACGTCTCCTTTCAATATAGCCAGATATACACATTACATCATATGAATTCTGTACGATCGCCTCAGTCTCCCACACAAGTTCAAGTCCCAATGCAAATGCAAATACCAATGCCAATGCAGCGCCACCAACACCCGCTGCAACAGCCACAAGCACCACAACAGCAGGTGCAGCTGCTGCTGCAGCTACCACAGCCACACCTCCCAGGTATAAACTCTCTACCATCTATATCTGGTCACCATTTTACAACTCATCGTCCTTTTGACAGTCTGCAGCTGCCTCCAATACATCTACACCCACACCCACACTCACACTCACAGCGATCTCAACTGAATTCAAATTTACCTCCTCCTCCACCTATAGTGTCATCACAACAACACTACCCATTACCTTCGTTGAGAGCTCCACCTCCACCACTCACGAGCAATCTCAACAACAGCCATAACAGCATCAACAATTTCCACAACAACAACACTGGCAACACTGGCAATCCCAGCAATGCCAACAATATTAGCAATGGCAATGTTGCTGCTGCCAGTGTTTTGTCCTCGTTCCCACAATTGACTCCCACTGTAACCAATGCCACACATTCAACAGTATCCACCATTTCAACCCTTTCCTCATCATCTTCAACCGAATCAGCAGTGTCGTCTTCTTCGTCAAATAATACCAACGGTTCCAAACCGAAAAGTAAACGGTCGAGTAAAGGTAGAGTGTTTCAATGCACTGGATATCCTGGTTGTAACATGTCATTCACTCGAAGTGAACACTTGGCAAGACACAAGAGAAAACATACTGGAGAACGTCCATTCACTTGTCCTTATTGTTCTAAAAACTTCAGTAGGTTGGATAATCTACGTCAACATAAGCAAACTGTACATGCTTATGAGACTTATTTGACTAAGGACAAGAATGATAGCAAGTTGTTGATTGAGAGATCGAAGATGAAGAAAAAGTTGAAACAGGGTGAACAAAAGAAGCAACTGGAAGCAAACATGCAGCAACATCTGCATCTGCAACATCTGCATCTGCAGCAGCAGCAGCAGCAGTACCTCCAGCAGCAACAGCAACAGCAACAACAAGGAAACCCTCAATATACGTATGGTCGAAACTTGCAACACCTACCAGCTCCACAAAACACACTTCCTACGTTTGCCCAGTCTCAATATGGAAATCGGGTATATATGTCTGGTACTCATCCACATCCTATTCAAAGCCAGCAGCAATCGCCACCACCACAACCTCTACTGAAGGGTGGATTCTCCAACGGACAGTACCTGATTGCAATGCAACCACCAATGTCGCAACTGCAGTCCCCACTACCACAACCGTCGTCACTTGCCCAAAAACAACATCAGTCACTTGATGGTCAACCTCTGATGTCGCAAGCTACTTACCAAAAACCATTGCCTCCATTACCTCCTCAGGCTGACGACCAGTCGCAAAACATTCAACAAACAACATTGCTACCTATACAAAAGGAAGCACATGTGCAGCAACAACAGCAGCAACAACAGCAGCAGCAACAGCAAATATCTCCTCCTCAAGGTTCCACCCCCACTTCCACAACCACCTCTTCTTCTTCTACTTCTCATGGTGATTTAAAACTACCTACACATACGTTCAAGCCGAAAAAGAGGCCTCAACCGTTATCACTACATCATTCAGCTTACAATAGCGATGAAGACTTAGCTGACCCAATGGAAGAGGATGATGATGATGATGATGATGACGTACCTAGACTGGCGCAAGCACCACCGGTTCCTGGATCTGTCATGAGTGAGTCGCATCCTAGGTCTATTCACAATTCTATTAGCGGATTAAAGAATATTGGTGCCAGTTTCCCGCAACCTCCTAAATCGGCGTCACTGGCAGTACCACCAACACCAAGTTTGGTGAGTCCTTTATCGCCAATGTTTCATATGGCATTTGGCACGAGTAGCAATAGCCGGACTCCATTTCAACATCAACAGCAACAGCAACAGCAACAGCAACAGCAACAGCAACAGCAACAGCAACAGCAACAGCAACAGCAACAGCAACAGCAACATCAGCAGCAACAGCAACAGCAACAGCAACATCAGGCTGGTTTGGCTAGACCATCATCTTTAATTGCAAATTCAAATACGAGCATCAACATCGGTAATAACGGACCAATGAAGTCCCCCTTTTCGCAAAATTTTCACCTGACTTCAACACCAACCACACAAACGCATGAGCAAGGTAGACAATCCCAACAACCTCACGATGGGGATGGGAACCACCAGTTTCCTAGTTTACCACCCCTAAAGAACTTGACAATACCTGTAAACGTTCACGACAGTGATGTGGATATCAGCGCCAGAGTTGGTGGAGAACAACTGCGTGAAAATAGTCGAGAGGTCAATGGTTACAGCGTTGGAAGCGTGGGCAGTCTAATACACAATGATGATAGTAGTGCCACCAACGCTGCAAACACAAGCAGCATGGATGCCAGCTCTACTGTTGCCACTTCAACTACAGCTAATAATCACCATACTGGTGCTAGCACTACTATGAATACGACGACAGGTGATGCTGGATCATTTTCTGCTACAGGCAAGAGTAACTGGTTGAAGGGAGTATTGAATAGCGAGGAGAAGAGACAGTAAATGTGGAGACACTAGGTTAAAGTGGCTACTTTATCGGATCGGGTAGAGTAGGAAAGCGTGATCAACGCTTTTGTGTTTGTAGTTGTTGAAAAGATCAAATGAGTGAGCAATGAAAGACATGAATGTATTTACTTCTAAGAATTTGCCCCTCTCTTTTTTTTCTCTTTTTTTTTTTTCTTTTTTTTCGGTATGTTGATATCTTTGGTGGCCGGATGTAGCTTTTTAACTCCGATGTCTTTTTTCTGTGCCGACAAAGGATGGAAAAAAAAAAGGGTTCATTTTCAAACGAGGATAATGTAGCCAATAAAGGATGAACATGGAGGACGAATGCTGGCATCCTGCTAACTTGTTACTCATCCTCATTGAAATGGCCACATGAACTAGTTGTTATTGTAATCACGTGAAGAGAGAAAGTTGACTTTTCGTAGACTTTATCTGCCTCCGTTGTTCAATCTAAAAATAGAATACTTAAGGAGCAAGGACAATAGTAAAGAGTGAAAGATGCTCTTGAGGAAGAGTTGGTGACCTCTATAGATTCTCACACCAACGGTTAAACAAGGTTCTCTTCACCGTTTCTCCTCTCTACAGTGAGATATTGTCTATCTGCTGGTAATCCTTTTTTTTTATTACCGGAAAATTAATTCTCTTCTCTTTTTCTCTCTTGACAAATCCGCGCATTTAATTAATTTTTCTTGTCTCTCTCTCTCTCTCTCTATCTTTCTATTTCTATCTTTCTCATCTTTCTGTAACCTTCTACATATACGTCTTGTGACTTACAGATCTATTGGCTTTAACTGATTGATCCCACCACCTTTCCCGCAACTAAAGTAAAGGACAAGCAGCGAGGATCTTTTTACTGCCGGATACCAGCTCACACACATGCACAAGTACACACCCATACAAAAACGTCTAGTCCATAATCGAGAATTGCTAATTGTATAAAAGAACAACTACCAAAGATGACTACTCCGCCAAAGTCGCCGTCTGATCAGCTGAGATTGTTGCTGCCACAGCCAACTTTGAGAGCTGGAAATGGAGCTGGATACCGGGCGACGTTGTTGAATGAGGATGATTTTCTACATAAGGAGGAGGAGGACGACGAGGGGGAGAAGGAAGACAGTATGGATAGCGAAGAAGAAGAAGAACAGGAAAGAGAGCACGCTCAGGGCCACGGAAGTGATAAGGTCAACATACACAGCTACAATGCTGTGGACGATAATGGTGAAGCAGCTCATCCTGCTGTCAATGGTGCTCCTGATGATGAGCATCAGGTCAGTGACTTTAATCCGATGTCGAGGGGGGCAACTGCTCTCAGTCGTCGGCTAACTAAAAGTGATGCTGAATCAATAGTTGGCGGTGATTCAATCAGAAATGTTCATGACGAATATGAAGCTGACGTGTACATGGATCACCCCACTGCTGACCCTGACAAGCCAACTGAAGATCAAGAGGTCAAAATTGGCGATCATACATTCACTGACACCAAGATGAAGCAATACAACCCCAACCAAAAAGTATTTTCATTTGCGTTACCATTTGGTGGTGGGTTTTCCTCCTTGCGAGAAAACGTTGCGCGGCATTTACACCAGTTGAAAAATATTGACGTTCCATTTGTGAAACACGATGAAGAGCACAAGATCGATGAAGAATTACATCGTAAAGTTGAATTACGATTACAGCGACAACAATCAATCAGCACTGTAGATGAAGAACAGTATTTCAAGGGGTTTAAGGGAGTCGACGATGGTAGAAGTGAAGCGATAAGACACGCACTAACACCCAATTTTAATGAGTTGTTACCCATCAAGAATAAAAAGGACTTGCCTGATTACGAGTCCATTTATGATCGGATTGACGGTAATATTGTTATCATGGGTGGGTATCGAGGATCGATTCTTCGCGACACCAAAACTCACAAGCGAGTATGGATCCCGTTGAAAGCGGGGTTCAATTTGAGGAAAATCGATTTGCTTTTGGGGCCAAATAAGGAAGATGAATGGAATGCCGAGGAAAAGATGTACCCCGATGGGATACTTTCTCATGTTGGTCCTATTGATGTGTGTAGAAAATTGATCAAGAAACTTGATGCTAATCCCAATGTCAATATTCACGAATTCGGTTATGATTGGCGATTAAGTGGTGATTACGTGTCACATAAATTGGAAGAGTTTCTCACCAAGATTCATCAAGAAACGGGTAAGCCGACATTGGTGATTGCCCATTCGATGGGTGGATTAATGGTTCATGGAGCAGTTCAAAGGAATCCTAAATTGTTTCGGTCAGTGGTGTATGTGGGTTCGCCAAGTGAGTGTTTGAATATTCTTGGGCCTATAAGGTTTGGTGATTCCGTGTTGCTTTCTGATAAGATACTTACTTTTGAAACGAATTTCATGATGAGATCGAGTTTCATCTTTTTGCCATTGAGTGGAGAAACTTTTTACGACAAGAAAACAAAGGAAAAGTACAAGATTGATTTTTTTGATCCTGATAATTGGGTTGAGTATAATTTGAACCCGTTGGTGTCAAAGCAAAGAAAAATTGAAGCTGAATCAAAGGGAAAGAAGTTGAATGAGCAACATAGGCTGAGAACCTTTTCAATTGCATCAAGTATTGGATTAACGAGGTCTCCTTCACCTCCTTCGTCGATCATTTCATCATCGACTTTCCCCAGCATCAATCAGATTAGCTCCAAATTTTCCAAAATGTATCGTTCGACGTCGTTGAAAAAGTTCAAGCGCGGCTCCGATTCAGCAACAGACGAATCATCGCCACCTCCATCATCGGCATCCGCATCCGCATCAGCAACAACAACAGCAACAACAACAACAGTAACTGCAACAGCAACAGCAGCAGCAACAACGCCATCATCAACCTTGAACGGCGATGCTGCTTCACCAGCTAGATCTTCTTCTTCGTCTCCTTCCCCCTCACCTCCCCCTTCTTCATCAAACGACGCTCCTTGCGCTTCTGAACCACAACCACCAGCAGCCACGTCCATGGTTCCAGGTGTCGATTCCACCGGGACACAGTCCACACCACACCCCCATCAGTACTCATTCACGTTTGCCGAATCGTATCGCTACTTGAGCGAAACCTTGGAGTCAACCAAAAAATACGTTCTATCATTAGAGCACGACCCGAAACTAGCAGCAGAATATCCGCCAATGGCAATGGTCTACGGCAACAGGATCCCCTCAGTGCGGGGATCTCTAGTTCGGTCAAGACAAGACATTAAAGATGGAAACTATTATGAGTTCTTTTATGGACATGGAGACGGTGTCATTCATCAGAAATGGCTCATGCCTGAAAAGAAGGGTTTCACTTTTTATGATAAGCATACTGGGACTGGAGAAATTGTGGGCAAGTTTGCTAGTGAGGCGGCACATGTGGGGTTGATGACCGATTTGGATACTATGGGCAAAGCTTTGAATGCTGTCTTTGAGGCGGAAAAGTTTTGGGAGCAGAAGAAGTTGCTGCAGAGGAGAAAAATGAGGGAGAACTCTGCATAGATAGAGGACACAATTTAGAGTAGAATAATAATTCAGCATTTGCGTGTATATAGAAAGCACCATTTTTTTGTTGAGCGTAAATACAGATCTCTAAGCTAATGACGGAATATCGAGCCTCAACAGCATCAACCTCGGCAGCTTCAACTAGACTGCCAATTTTGGTTGAACAAACCTGATGGCATCGTTAACACTCTTGTCCTTTTCTGGCAAGACATTATTTCTCTGGTCAATCATAAACTTGCTGAAATATTCATCAACTTGTTTCAATCCACCCACGGAGAACTCAACCACTTGAGCCACATGTGTATCAGGTCTTGCAATCAAGATTGCACCTGCTTGCTTGTCAATTCCATAGGTCTTGTAGATATCAACTGCAGTTCCATCATAGGCTTTTCCAGCACCACTGAAAATTCTCCAGTAATCAGTACGTCCCTTGAAGTCGATAGATCTGGTAAATTGCGGGAAATCATGGAACTCAATATCGTTTCTTGTGGATGCGTGAATGGTTAATATCTCAATCACTGAGCTGGGGAAAGCATTAACTGGGGTATAACGCTTTATAAAACTATCCTTCTCTTCAAGTGCATCGTTGAACTTGTTCAATATATCCCAATTGGACTTGAACTGTTGTAAATCTCCTGGGAAAATCAAAACTCTAAATCTTCCATCCGATGGCATCTTGTCAACCAAATGCAACAATTTGTAATCAATTTGACCCAACACGAAATCACTAAGCAACCTTCTTCCAACGGGGACTTTATTAGCCAATGGATGGAAAACCCCTTCTGATTCTTCGCCTTCGCGGGCTTTGGCCCCAGTTTTATTAACCATGATTGAGTCTTGATAATCGGAAATTGTTCCACTGGCAAATTTACCACCTTGGACATAAACTTGATGGAATTCATCCAAATCAACACCACCATCTTCATTGGACCCCTCCAATTTTTCGGCACTTGGAATCATGGGTTTACCACTAAACAAACGAGAAAACTTGTGATCAAATTCAATCAAGTCGTGAGCAACCTTCTTTCTCTCCAATTCATAAGTTTGCAAGATTTCTTGCTTGGCCAATCCTTTACAAACAAGGGCAAACTTATATCCTAAGTTGTAAGCATCTTGCATAGACACATTCATACCTTGACCTGCTTTTGGTGAATGGGTGTGGCATGCATCTCCGGATATGAATACACGGTTGTTTCTGTGGAATCCAGTAGCGACACGCTGTCCGATTTGATACCCGGTAAACCAACTTACATCAGTAGCGTCCAAGTTGAAAGGTTGGATGATTTCCTTGGCTTGTCTGACAATAGATTCGGGAGTGATTTTGGACCTGTCGATTCTTCCCTTTGATTTGGCACCCCCATCAGCACCGGCACCCTCACTGCCATCCTCTTCTCTGGCAACTTCTTTCAATTGGATGTAGAGACGGCATATATCATTTTCTCTTGGAATAATCATCATTGATCCGCTATCTTTGGAATGGATAGCACATCTGCTTCTAATATCAGGGAAATCGGTAATTGGAACAATATCAACAACTCCCCAAATGAAATCGGTGGACTCTCCTTGCATTTCAATGTCCAATTGTTTTCTAACCCAACTGTGGGCACCATCAGATCCAAGGACATACTTGGCTTTGATAAGTTCAAAGTCTTCAACATTGCCATCATTTACATGGTCCGCATAAAACTTGTCTTGATCCCCGTCAAATTGTCTAAACAATCCATTGGCTATTTTGCCATATTGTTCCGGGTTGGCCAAATCATCCGACACCTTCTTGACCAAAACTTCAACGGCATAATCCTGATCACCTTTCATAGTCTCGTCAATCTTGATGGAAACTGGCATATATGGACGTTCGACTTTAACTTTCCCCTCAGAAAACTCCTCAATCGAATTTTGGAGCCAGTTTTCAATCTTGCCCTGATGGATAACACATTCATGGAACCTTGAAATACCAGGAATGAAATCAGGAATACGTGATTTTCTTCCCAAAACTCCCTTTTCATTAGGGGACCAGAAACTCATCTCCATCATATCGTTGGAAGCTTTCCATGCTTTGTCCAAAGTGACGAAATCAAATTGATCTTCACTAAATGATTGGAATATTTCAAATGAACGGCTTTGTAAACCATCAGCTTGGCCAGCATATATCTTTCCTGCTCGTTTGTCAATGATTCTGAATGGGATTCCACATCTTGCTAACCATACAGCACACATCAATCCCGATGGACCAGCACCAATGATTAACACATCTGTTCTAGATTCTTTGATTGTCTTTAATGAAGGCATAGCGTTGTTGTAGTAATAGTGGGTTTAGTTGGTGTTTGACATAAACATGGGAAGTACAGGATGGATGTACACGTATATATATATATATATATACATATATCTATGTGAGTACGCGTGTAGAAAATATCTTGGTACAACCACGATAGATTGTGGGGTGCATGTTGATGCTTTTTCCACCAAAAGGGCTAAGATGATCAAGTATAATGGGCATGCAATTAAGCTTCGTCGGAAATTGATGTTTTTGGCAACTGTGTGGATTTTTCTGTATTTTGGTGCTTTTCCGGTGCTTGTAATGCGCTGAGTATTTTCTTATTCCAGATATTTCCTCGTACCATTTCCGATAGACAAAGAGAACCCAAAAGCTGTTGTTTCCAAAGATCGTTCGAGTAGGCTGGATATGATATCTGCTACAGTATCATGGATGCTATTATCTCTCTGTCATCACTCGCCTGTCTTCGTCGTCCTTTTTTTTTTCCTTTTTTTTTTTTTGGGTCTATCTCCGTACCTTAAGGACATAGATTTTTGTGGGGTTGGCTAATCCCATTGACCAACACCTAATCAGAAACACACACCAGATTGACGAAGAAAACTTAAATTTCGCAAAAGAAAGTGTGTCAGGCAGTTTTGAAAGCCACTACAATTACCTATTGCCAAATCAGTCGATCTTATGTCTCTCCCCACCTCCTTCCCACTTACAAGAATATTATATAGTAATAAAAAAAAATAAAAAAAACAAAGTCAAGATAATAATCCTACACCTCTCAAAGGGTAAACTCCGATTGTCGACAAATTCATGCCTTTCCTCTTCCACTTTCATCTTCTGGTGGTGGAATAATGTTTGCTGCATGGTACAATTCCGGCTCGACGTCCCCAATATAAGCTGAATCGCCAAACCCACCAATGATGTAGACCCCATCGACTTTAAGCTTCACCCAATGTGACTTGTGTGGAGGCACAACAGAGCCTGGAAGCCACAATGTCGAATCTGGGTGTCTCTCAACAAAACATCTTTCTAATCTCAACCTGCGTGGATCAAATGGGTTGAAAAAATTGACGTACTCCAATTTACCTGTCAATTGAACTCTGGGAGAGCCTGCGTTGGATCCCTCACGTTTTCCTGGATAGTTTGACGGAACTTTATCCCAATCTGGATGATCTCCCTCTCTGATTGCAAAACTAAATGGCAGCCCCTTGATGATATTTTGATTGGCACCACCAACATCTATAACTAACCAATAGGGGTCTCCATCGCCATCGCAATCGGCGTAATATTCCATGTTGATAACAGGCAATTGTTTTGTTTTGCCATCCTGCAGTTTCCAAGTCTTGATTGTAGCAACACTTGCAAGTGACTCTCTATTGACCAATGTCCTTGCTACCGAAGCTCCTTCTTCTTTTGTAGGACCCTCATCATTATCAATTGCTATAACGTCTTCAAAGGGTAATGCTAATGCAGCTAAAAGAAAGTACAATGTCAATATCCAGTGCATTGGGTACGTGTACTATCGTTTCGGTGGGGCAGGTGTCCAATCGTATTCAGGGGTGTGCACAATCAGCTCGCTAAAACATCAAAAAATAAAGCAAAAAAAAAAAAAAAAAGAATGTCCACAAACAAAGTGAAATCGAAAAGATAACAATCTCAAGTCGGTTCTCAATCGCAGAAGGTGTCTATCACTAATGAGCCTTACTGGTTGCAAATAGATGTTCACCATGTTTCAACATAGCCTAGTGTACATTCATCAAGTATGCGGCTCAGTCGATGAATCAACTGATAAGTTATACATTGGAAAAGAATTTGTAAAAAAATATGCGCAAACCCGGAATCGAACCGGGGGCCCAACGATGGCAACGTTGGATTTTACCACTAAACCATTTGCGCGTTTTCATGCAAAATAAGTGTCATATTGTCTCTATAATTTTTATATTTCACGTGATAAACACATGTAATACGCGTGACAAGCTTTCATTTTTTGAATTTCATTTACAACGAAAAATAACAATTTGTTGAAGCGACACATCCCACAACCTCATTCTGCCAATCACCAATTCCACATTTACCAATGCTTGATTTGGATCCTTCACCTGAGCAGCTACTCTCTACTTACGGGCTCAGTACGTCGCGGCCGAAAGATCGAAGTGATTTACGAAACATTGACCTATCATATCTGGAAAACCCATCAGGTCTCTCCGTTGAAGAATCATTTGAACTTGTGAAATCCATTTTTAGCTCGAACGAGCCAAGGTTAGATTGGCGTGATCTGATCAATGGTCATGACTTGGAGGATCCCTTGAAGGGGCGTGGATCTAACATCGTGGCTGATCTTGTAAAGAAAGGGATTATATCCTCACCGGATGACCCCTTGGTACAAGACTTTTTGATTAGTTCGCAAACATTCAAACCCTACAAGTACTTGACCACAATTCACAAGGACACTCCTTTGAAGGTATTGGATGAGTCGCTTCACTTTTTGGATAGAAACCTTCAATCTTATAGAAGCGATTTGCAGGCGGCTCTTGATTCAGATCTCACAAGTGCACTTAACGTCAAAGCAGAAATGGATGGAACTTTGCAAGAGTTTAAGCAGCTGAAAACGAAACTACAGGAGGATAAAGAAACGTCAAAATATTTCAATCCACAGCGACACAGATTGAAATCGTCCGAGGGTGCTGCAAGCGGAGATATATCTTCAGAACTTGAACTGTCGTTGAATAATTTGGCAACGACAACCACCTTGATGATAAAACCCATAGTTGAAAGCAAGGTCAAACAAGACAGGCTTAGTGTTCTTGTAGATTTTATCAAGTCAAATGCCTTTTTGTTCGATATACCTTACAAATTGACCAATTCACTTAAAGCAAATGATAGCCATCAGTTTATTGACGATTATACTCAATATGATCGAGAAAGGTTGCACGTATTAAAAAGAGTTGATGAATCTTTTCAATCTGATGTGAAGAAACTCAAACAATCAAGCAATGGTGGTAGTGGTGGCGGTGGTAATATTCTTGATGAAGATGCCTTGGCCAACTTGAACAAGATCAGACTTCAGAAACTTACTCTTTTAGCACAAGTTTTTGAAAAGATCGAGGCAATTGCTAGCCACTTTAGGGATAAAACTTATCAAGAGCTATCATCATTGGACCATGAGGCTAGTAATAATCAAAGCTCAATTAGCGGCGCAGGTTCTCGCAACAAAGATGACCAAAAGTTCATGTCTTTGGTGGCCAACTTGTCGAAGATTGAAGGTCCAAGCGGTGAGGGTCCGAAATCAGACCCGATTGCAGTTTTCTTGAATAAGCAAATTGAGGTTTTAATCAGTGACTTTGAGTACCAAGAAAAGAAGTTTGACACGAGATATGTTTTGATGCAGAAGAAATTGATTGATTATGTGGCATCGTTGCGGGCAGAAAGGAAACAAGGATCTCATTTGAACTATATTGCAGAGAAGTATGAGTTTTACAAAAATGAAATCAAATTGGCCAAGAACAAGGAGGAGAAGATGTTGGCTATTGACGAAGCTTTTGAAAGTGGTGATGCCCTAGATGTCAGTTTGGTCAATGAAACTTGGTTGGTATTGGTTAATTTTATGAGTTACATGGAAACAATATTCATCAAGCTAGTGGGAAAATTCACAAACAACTACGGCAGCTATTATAGTTTGAATGTGGATCCGGATGGTTCCATTCGTGATCAATTTTTTCAAGCAATAAACGAGGCAGTGGATTTGTTGGTTAGACTATTCCAGTCTGAGTCTAACTCGAATGATAGTAAGGACGTGAATAACTTGGAATCACTGCCTGCCAACTACAAGCAGTTTGTTCCTTTATACTCCAACTCTTTATCCACCATACACCAATTGAGCTTAATTCAAGCAAAAGTCAACCGCGTGTTGACCAGTTTGGGTACTGCTGTAACTACTATTGGCAACGTGAGCAGGTTTGAGGACACAAACAAACAATTGAAAGTTTTGAAAAGTGCTTCACTGTCAATCAATCAAAACATTTTAGAGGCAGTGTGCTCTACGTGGATTAACGATTGCTCTCAGTTTTATGATTTGGAGAATTGGAAGATTGAGGATAGGTACAACACCAAAGATGGATCCTGCACCAAATTAGTCAATGTCATTGAGTACTATCAGTTGTACATGATATCCAAAATTAGTAAAATTGTCTTTCGCAAAGAGAAAACGAGCCAAGAGGAATCGGTGGTGAGCATTGTTGCTTCGTATCCAAGCAAAAGGATTCTCGTGAGTATTGAAATTCAATTTATGAGAACTTTAAATATTATAGTGGACTCTTTGATGAAAAAATACAATATAGACCGCATGTCTGAGTCTACAAAGAAAAGTTCAAGTGTGGAAATTTTTAAAATACTTACTGTCAATAACTTGGACAAGTTATCAAGAAGCACGTACCAGCTTTTGATTTTCATGTTTGACCAACGATTTGGCAAGGACTTGTCCAAACAAAAACTCAAGTTATTTTCAGATATAGATAAGGCCAGTTTGACTATACTTGATGACATTTTGGCAAATGAAAAGGAAGTGATTTTTTCCATTACAAGTGGTTTTTTCAGTGGCATATCAGAACTTCAGAATGACCAAAGTTACGAGATAAGTTTCTTGACAATTGACGGTTTTGTGTTTGAGGTTTTGATGCATTTTGTTAACCTAGTTCATAAACTCAAGCCATTAACGAGTGGAGACATTTTCATAACAATCATTAATGAATTGCAATATAGTTTTTTGAAAAACATTCAGGATGGGTTGCGCAACCTCATTGTACTGAACGTTTATGTGTTGTACAACTTAAAATTGGACTGTAACTTTTTGCACAGTGTATTTGAGGCGTCCAAGAGCCTCAGATTAAATGATTCTACGTTCAGCTTGTTGCAGAACCTATTGGAGAATATAAGCATCCAAATTCGCGAAAGCAATGCTCCCCACGGTGATGAGCAATATAGCGACACGTTGTTTAAAGAGAAGTTGAAGATGTATTTGAAATCTTCCAAGGCACAATTTGAATGCTTTTGAAAAAAAAAAAAAAAAAATAAAAAAATAAAATGGTGGATTCTAAGGGTTCTTGTGGTTATGTTTAGAATGTGAAACGTCAAATATAAAGATCTGGCGAATGCATAATCTGTAAATGCTTTACGGGACTATAGCCACACTGCGTTAGAGCTCAAAGAGTAAAAGTGCTAAACAAATACCTCCTCTCCTAAAATGAAAGGAACTGCTTAAGTCTTTCTATGCTTGGTGTTTTCAAATCGTACACGAATACACATCGCTCTCTTCAAATACCACATTCACCTCTTGTTCCCCTTTTAGCCGTGAAAGCATTTACTTTCTCGCTCTGCAACATGCTACTATCAAATGAGCACACCACCGCAAACAAAACTTTAGCATTTGTGTCGCTTCCTATGATCTAAGTATAACAAGTCAGAGATGATTTGGCAATCGGAGTTACTGGTGGATGATTTTTTTTTTTTTGGCAACCATAACAAAAAAAAGAAATGCAAATGAAAAATTCTAGCCCGACGCGGGACTCGAACCCGCAACCTTGAGATTAAAAGTCTCACGCTCTAGCCGATTGAGCTAGCCAGGCCAATTTCACAAATATTAATTGCCTAGTCTTTTTACATTGAACAAAATATTGTCACGTTTAATGGTAAACCCAATGCTCGAAATCCAGGTAGAGCGGCACTGTAGGAGGCCAAAGTGTGTCAATCGAGGTTAATTTTGGTCAAACACCTAGCAAAAAAGCTTTTTTAACTTCTCAAGTGAGATTCTAGCGAAGAAATTTTCTTTCCTAGATGTTTTGCATCAGAATATGACTAAACTTTGCAATATCGTGATTTTTCTTCAAAATTAATGAGCTTCCATTGAGTGTCCAGTCTCGAAACTAAACTGGAAACAGAAAAATAAAAAAAATAAAAAAAGAGCAAATTCTGCAAATTCTGCAAATAGTAAAACTCTCAAGAGATCGCATTCGGTGGGGTTTTAAGGACTCATTTTTGATCTGTTTTTCTAATTGTAGTCAAGCAAAACACTCATGGACGGAATGATTATATAGATGACAAAAGCGTTGACAATTAGGGTTACTCGCTAAAGGCTGGCATCTACTGTTACTCAGGAAATCTCTGCTGATCCTATGAAGAAATCAAAACTCTTTCTAAAAGTTCTTGCGTATTCTTCAACAACAATCACTCTAGATGTCCAAACTTCAAAGATCTAGTTTTCGCGATCCCAATAATCTACAATCACTTGACACAATTGTACTTCTTGCCCCATATCTGCAGTCTCCAGCACGAGGTTGATGGTTGCAAAATGAGAGAGAAACTCGTCACGAACAAGAGCTACCAGATTTTCAGAAATCACTGCAACTAATTGTGATTAGTTGCAAAGCCTGTGAATTTGGCAGTCTACGACTTGACGTAGATTCTATGAGACTTATGAACTGTCGTAGTAACGCCGATCTGCCACCTAAAGTTAACTTAGTTCAAATTTCACTGCTTTCCGCCATGTATACGCCAGCATGCAAAAAAAAAAAACTCTCTCTTTAATGAATCCAAAGATACTCGACCAGTTGTGAGAGTTTTTTATGTAGAGCCGAATGATGAGTGGAACCATTCCTTGTTAATCTCCGATATTCACTTTGTGTCCGGAGATTTAGCTCCAGAGTATGACTTTTCAAGCTTGCGAAAGGATATTAAAAAACTTTAAAAACGAGATTGAAGCACCAACACAAGCAAACAAGATTCCTAGTCCATCATACTGTGATTGCTGATCCTAGCATCCTTCTTGGAAACCGTTTGAGTCTCACCTCCCGGAGTTTTTCGAGTGACTTTTGTGTTACCTGCATTTACCGGGGGTAGTGTACTAGGAACCGAACTTTGAATGTTTTGCTAGCTACAAGCCATTAAACTCCGAGGAAATGACTCGTTTTGCTTACAAATACAGTACGCGGTAAGATTATGAACGTATCTGTCGATATCAGTGAACTACAACAGACATCTACTAATATAAACACCTCACAATCTACCATCTATTGAATTTGTACTGAGTAGTAAATTTTCTTGCTAGATCGGGACTTTAAACACCGAGACAGAGAAGAAGAAGAGCTTCGCATATAGAGATTTTTTTTTATTTTTTCTTTTTTTCTTTCTTTTTTTTTGATTGAGTTTTTGTCTCGTTTGCCAATCATCAAACTTGGAAAGAAACGAAACGCACTTTTTATTCATTGATACTTGAGTGAATTTGTTCTAATCAAACACAGTTACATATATTCACATCATACACATCATGTTGAGATCGTTGAAAGCAAGCACTGCTCAACAAAAGTTTGCTCAATTCGTCAGGTTCGCATCCTCCTCCAAGAAATACGACGTTGTTGTTATTGGTGGTGGTCCAGGTGGATACGTTGCTGCCATCAAAGCAGCACAATTGGGGTTGAACACCGCCTGTATTGAAAAAAGAGGGGCTTTGGGTGGTACCTGTTTGAATGTTGGTTGTATTCCATCCAAGTCGTTGTTGAATAATACCCACTTGTTGCACCAAATTCAACACGAAGCCAAAGATAGAGGTATTGCCATTGATGGTACCGTTGGCGTTGATTTTGCCAAATTGATGGCTGCCAAAGAGAAATCAGTCAAACAATTGACTGGAGGTGTTGAATCATTGTTCAAGAAAAACAAGGTTGAATACTTGAAAGGAACCGGTTCTTTTGTTGATGACAAAACTGTCAAGGTTCAACCAATAGATGAAAATGCAGAACCAATTGAAGTTGAAGCTGACAACTTCATTGTTGCTACTGGCTCTGAACCAACTCCATTCCCTGGAATCGAAGTTGACGAAGAAAGAATTGTCACATCCACAGGTATCTTGTCCTTGAAGGAGATTCCAAAGAGATTAGCCATCATTGGTGGTGGTATCATTGGTTTGGAAATGGCTTCCGTCTACTCGAGATTGGGATCAAAGGTTACTGTCATTGAATTCTTGCCAGCTATTGGAGCTGGTATGGATGCCGAAGTTGCAAAGACTACTCAAAAATTGTTGTCGAAACAAGGATTGGAGTTCAAATTGGGTACCAAAGTCACAAAAGGTGAAAGAGATGGTGATGTTGTAAAGATTGAAGTGGAAGACGCCAAGTCGGGCAAGAAGGAAGATATCGAAGCCGACGTTTTGTTAGTTGCCATTGGTAGAAGACCATACACTGAAGGCTTAAACTTGGAAGCTGCTGGCTTGGAAAAGGACAACAAGGGAAGATTAATTATTGACGACCAATACAAGACACAAAAGGACAACATCAGAGTCATTGGTGATGTCACATTTGGTCCTATGTTGGCTCACAAAGCTGAAGAAGAAGGTATCGCTGCAGCAGAAATCATCAAGAAAGGTCATGGCCATGTAAATTACGCAAACATCCCTTCCGTCATGTACACACATCCAGAAGTTGCATGGGTTGGATTGAATGAACAGCAATTGAAGGAACAAGGAATCAAGTACACTGTTGGTAAGTTCCCATTCATTGCAAACTCTAGAGCTAAAACCAACTTGGACACCGATGGATTTGTTAAAATCCTTGCTGACGCCGAAACCCAAAGGGTTTTGGGTGCCCACATCATTGGACCAAATGCCGGTGAAATGATTGCTGAAGCCGGTTTGGCTTTGGAGTACGGTGCTTCCGCTGAAGATATCGCAAGAACATGTCATGCTCATCCTACATTGTCCGAAGCTTTCAAGGAAGCTGCATTGGCCGCCTTTGACAAACCAATAAATTTCTAAGTCTATATAAAAACTTGAGTACTTTTTACATTACATTTCGTCTAAAAACCTATTGGCTTTGGGGAGTTTTTAGGCAAGAGAGCCATAAACTTGTAGATTTTGCCCATTTCTTCTTCATCAGTTAACCTTCTGTACGCCCCATAGATCTTGTCCTGTAATTCTCCATTGCTACTATTCTGCTTCAATAGTTGATCAATTCGATAGCCAATTCCAATATTATGAAGCCAATCACCTTGGTTGATCGGGCCCTCGATCTCAACTGCATTCTCAGCAAGATTTTTCAAATTGGTAAAGTCAACGTCAATCGATAAGTCAACTTCTCCTGGCTTGTAAAAGGGAGAGACAAATTTGTGCTTGTAGATACCTCTTAGGGAATTTTCTGGAATTTGATCCACAACACCATAATCGATTATTAGAGCCGCACCCAATGAGCTGACATTGTCTATCAACTGAGCAATCTTCAACGTGTAAAGTTCCGAATCGGGGCATATCTCAATCCGTGAGTCAACAGGTAAATCTTTATATCTCTTGCTAAATTTAGGAATCATCGATGCGGGTGTCTCTTTAGGAGAAATCGTCAAATGAAATTCGGTGTCGAAAGTGGGATCATTTGGAGCTTGTGACGGGTTGTTCGCACCGCTCTCCAATTTTAGCTGCGTATTGAGGACAGTAGTTGTGTCTTCAACCACCAACTCACGCCAACCTTCTTCCTTCTTTATAAAAGATTTTATTGGCAAAGCATCAAAGAACTCGTGGGCGATGATATAGTTAGCAATGCTATTCGAACTGTCTTGCTTGATGTCCTTTTCAGTATCCACCCAAGTGATAGTGTTGCCCCATTTGGTGGTGGACCTATTAAACCCGTCCCCTGTCGTTTCAAATGCGTCCTTATTTTCATCGCATAGAAGTTTATACTGTTCAAGCCTCAAAACTTTAGAGGCCTCAATCATCGTTACTTCAACTTTGGGCTTGACTTCGTTACTTTTGTCGACAAATCTATTAAAAGTTCTCAAGACATCATTTATTAGTGTACCTTTACCAGGTCCAAACTCGATAAATCTGATACTTTCCGGTTGATTCTGTGACTTCCATATTGTGAAGTACCAAATTCCAATCATTTCGCCAAACACAGACGAGATTTCTGGACTTGTGATAAAGTCTCCAGTTTTGAGATTCAACGGGTCTCGCGTGGTGTAATATCCAAAATCAGGGTGAGTCAAACATTGCCTCATGTAAGAGCTTAAGGAAATGGGCCCTGTCAACTTGATTGTCTGTTTGAAAAAATCTGTCAAGCTCTTGATGGAATCTATGGGAGCTGCAGGACCTTGCTCTGGAAATTGAGCAACTTTGCCAATGTTTTCTCTCACGTTGTGATCCCCTTTGATTTCCGCTTCCAACTTGGCGATTTGGTCTTTGATTGCTTTGGCCGCTTCTTTATACTCCTTTTCAGTGAATTGTCCAAAATACAAACCATCTTTGTGTGGCGGGACTTTGGATGACGATGACGATGACGAGGATGAAGATGAAGATGAAGATGAAGAATCCTTCTCTTGCGGATCAGGGCCCGCTTTGAAACTGTTATTGTTGTAACTGGATGCGAGGTACCTCCGCGTAAGTCGCGTGAAAAGGGACGTTCTGTGTTTGTACAATTGCTTGATCATGGTTTGCGTACTAGTGGATCTGAGATAAAGAACCATCATCTGCAGGTGTAAAAGAGATTTAGACATAGAGTTGACACGGAAAAAAAAAAATATTACGTTGAATTCCCACATGTTGAACTTTGATGGAATTATCCAAACCACCAGTATCTACACATGGGCGATTGTCATATACCTGCGCTGGTCAATTTTGATTGGTGCCCCAACAACTTGTCTCTTATACCATTCAATTCTAGCATCATGTTCATCAACAGTTCATCATTCAGCCACACGTGATGCAGGCTCGTGATCAAAACGATCAAAAGTAGGTATAGTCGATCTAGCTTGTGCCCAAGCTCCATAAGTTCTTGCTACTATCTTCGTGTACCCTCATTTTCTTCCACGTGTGCTTCCTTTTGGGAAACTTACTTTGTCTGGTGACTTATTAAACTGGTGATGCACTTGCTCAATCTTCTCCATTACGAGACTTTATGTCAGTGTGGATTTTATTTTATATGTTCTACTTCTAGTGCATCTTCTTGCTCTCAAGTTCCTGTACTCTAAACGCAAAACCATTCCCACGATACGCCGAAGTGATGCAATATTTTCATCTCTGAAACATTCAAATTGGTGTGATTGACGACTTTGAGAAACGGTGAGACGGGGTATAACTTGACTGTACTTTGCTTCAATGTGGAATGTGAGCGACGCGACAAAAAAAAACAAAAAATACAAACACACACACACATACACACAATCCACAATCTCTAGCGTGATCTCGTTTCTTCTTCCCTTCCTTTTTTTATTTTATTTTTATTTTTTTCAACACCATCAAGAGATTCTCCTTGAATACTTCAGTCAGTGTTGATTCACATCTCCCACATACATTGTGAGGGCCTATACTTCGTTATCAAAGCACAATATCCCAATAAAATAGACACATTCCTTATTAGCGTCCCTTGATGTCATTTGCCGAGAGTTTCTGGACTCAGGATTATAACCTGGGGTTTCAAATCCTTTTTGAACAATTGAACGAAGGGATTCGCGAGAACGATGACTTTATAGACTTGTTCAGAAAAAGGATGGAGCTGGAGATGTTATACGGGACATCTCTCAAGTCGATATCAACAAATGCAACCCCCACCAGCAAACGTCAAACCAATGATGATTACGCGTCCACAATCAAGAATGTTTACTCTGAATTGCACGAAAATTTCAACAAACAGGGCCAGCATCACTTGGAAATAGCGGAGAATATCGAGACAATGGTTCTTAATCCCTTTGAGAAATGGAGCAAGGAACACGAACAACGAGTTGGGTATTCTACGTCCACGATCAACGCCAAGTACAAGTCGTTAAAGTCAAAGCAAGCACAAGTGGATAAGTTGCAGAAAAAGTATTTCAACAAATGTCGAATTTTGGAAGAGTTCAAGAGCCATTACTCAGAAGAGGAATTGAATGAAGAGATTAGTGACTCTGAGTTTTACAGGAAACTTTCCGGATCAAAAGTGGAAAAACCGGCCGACAAAGATGGCGATGGGGAGGAAGATGCAGGCTATGAGTTTACATATGCAAATTTCACTACCAAGCAAATGGAGACTCTTTTAAAGAAAATGTTGATTGGCATACCTCGCAAATCGCACAAGGTTCCAATTTTTGGTACTTATCAAGACGTATCCACAGGAAGCTCCATCACGCAATGGGTTATAGAAAATGTCGCTGAGGTTGAAAAAAACCTCGACAAGGCTGAAAGCTTTGGCCAAGATTTGATAAAGTATGACTTTATTAGAACAGTTGGTTCAATTGGTAAATCATTCATCAATTCCTCGCAATTTTTCTATCAATGGAAACAAGAAGCTTTTGATGTTGCTCAAATAATTCCAAATAGCGACGATAGCGGTGGCAGCACAGCTTTTTCTAAAGGCTTTGGTACATTCAATCTCGATGACGTAAAAGAGGCAATAGGTGTAAGTGGTGTTGACTATACCGACAAAACTCAATACCCCAAATTGCTTAATGATGTCAAGTCTTTGGATACTCAGTACTTTGAAAAAGTCAAAGAGCTCGATGTGTTGAGATGCGAATTTGAAGAGCTCGTCATGGACCATTTAACGTTTATGCAAAAATGCGAGTTGGATCGAATGAAGGCTATAAAAAAGGTCACGTTTGATTTTATTGCCAGCTTTGCAAACCGAGTCAAGCAATTGCAAATAGTCACTGATGAGCTAGTGCTTTTAGAGGAAACCATCAACCCTACCAGTGATTTGAAATTTTTGATTGAGAATTATGCTACGGGGTATTTCAAACCCCATGTTACGTTGTACGATAACTATTATGACTCGAATCTTAGACAGACTTTTGGAGTTGATTTGAATGTAAAGTCTAGACTAGATAAGAAAGTGGTTCCAATTATCGTGCAAAGCATCTTGAGCCACTTGGACCATACCTACCCCGATTTGAAGGACGACAAAGAGAGGATCAGTCTCTGGACTCAACCAGTTCATTTATCTAATGTCCATGAATTGCGGTCACAGCTCAACGAATTGTCTGACCCGCATAAGATTTCTGAGATACTTCAACAATCCAACCCGGTGGTCATCACGAATGTATTGAAGTTGTATTTGTTGGAATTGCCAGACTCGTTGATACCGCACAGCTTTTACGACGTGATCAAGTTGTTGTATGTCAACTATCACGAGGAGTCGCAGAGGGCCACTCGTATCAATGCTCTTCAAAACGTGTTATCTGAAATGCCAAAATGCAACATAGCAACCCTCGATGCGTTGTTGACTCACCTTAAAAGGTTAGTGCAGATCATTGGATCTAAAGACAAGGAGGCATCAATACAATTGCAAACTGCACTCTGCTCAGAGTTTGGAAAATTGGTATTGCGTCCAAAGTCAGGCAGCACCCATTCAGACCTTTTTAAGAGCAGTTTCAACGATAAGCATCCTGTAAGCACCATGCAGGATTTACTCAAAAACAAGGAAACAATCTTTAATGAACTTCGGAGAAACAGCTCAAAAAAGACAAACAGTGCTGCAAATAGCCCCAATGTTAGTCGTCATGGCTCCGCAACTCGAAAGCCTGCAAACAGTCCACCTCTTGCTCCTAGTGCATCACTAGCAGCGAAATCCAAATCTCGATTAGAGTCCAGATTGAAAGATGCTATAAAGCATAAAGGAAAAAGTCATGCGAACGATCACCTGGGAGAAGTAGTTGAAGAAAAAACAGAGGCGGCAGCAGAGGTTGAAGCAGACGTTTCTTCACAAAGCAATGATACCGAAAATTCCAACCAGTGTGATCTGGTTGGCAGATCTGAATCTAGGTCTCGTTCAGAGACCCCTCCTGCTCCTCCAACACCGACAAAGTCTCCAGCATCATTGAAACGCTCCGTCTCGCCAAAGAAGAAGAGATTGTCGTCGATGTTATTAGACGACGTTGCAGGTTGATTTTACGAGCCAATCGAGCGATGATATTGATACCCACCACTCCATAGTAAAGTGAGAGGTGTATTGGAAGTCTCAAAAAGTTCGAAGTAAATAGTCTAAAGGGTGCAGTTGCTGTATTCAGTATAGATTTCAAGAAATTCTAATTTCTGCTTCTATAAAAGTTTGGAATGCTTGATATCATGTCTAAGACGATAAACGAAAACAACCAACGCAAGTAACACGATCAACAAAGGAATGATAATCCATCTAATCAATTTATCAACTGTTGATTCAGTATGAGATCCCCCGTGAGCCGATTTTTGACTCATTTGATCATTTTGTTTTCGGTATTGATGTTGTACTTCTTTGTGTTCATTCATCAACAAGTCAACCTTTTTGCCGATTTCCTCCATACCAAAGTGTTGCTCTCTAACCTCTCCAATGACTTTATGGTTAAGGTCAGACACAGCTTGAAGTAATTGGGCATACTGTTGCACAAACGTTTCCTTCAATTCACGAATAGTTTCATGAGTTTCTTTGATGGCGTTATTGATATCAGACTGAGACTGGGATAATCTGTCTATCTGGCCGTCTTGGTTGCCCGAGCTGGACAATGGATTAAAGTTTTTTGGCAACTCATTTACCAAGTGCTCCAAGTGGCTCAATTTGTTGAGTATCGACAGCAAATCGGTATTTGGACTGGATCCACCTTGTTGTTGCAACCTCTCCATTTCTTCTCTATGCTTTCTGGCTCTTTCCATCAACGATTCCCTCACTACTCTGGGCGATACATGATCCTCATCTCGATTCAGCTGTGGAGTATCAACAACTTTTTTAACATCCACCTTCAATTCTCCATCAACCATTAGTCCGTGATCATCAATGGCGTCCTCGGTCAATTTGTCCCATACTTTGACAGCCAAAATTTCAAAATTCTCTTGAGACTGGGGGTTCGTATTACTAGTGATTCCCAATTTGAAGTTTTGATTCTGAGGCAACGTGATCTTGTCAGTTTTGAAACATAGATTGTTGTCGACTTGTACCTTGAACCAACTGTCGTCACTATAGGACACTCTCAATGTGAATGGAACGTCACTTTCCAAATACCTGAATTGGCAATCACCAATGCTCACATCAAGTCCATTTTCAGCATTTTTGCTTCCATCATTGTTGAAAATTTTCAAGCCTTGTGTATCCACATTGTTGATTGCAAATTTGAATCCATCGTACTGGTCCAAACCCTGACTTTTCTTGTCATCTAAAAGCCAAACGTTTAAGCCATTTTCTGGGAATTGGATGTCTTGCGATTTACCAGTTGATCTGAAAATGATCTCCGCGGTGAACTCTTTAGAAGGGATGTGAGACTTTGACCAAAGAACACCATTTTGACTCATCAGTATTCTTCCTTGTTCGAAAGTGACACCACTAGATTCATAGTTTTTCACTTGCGATATACTTTCGATGGTCAATAGATTAGGCAACGATACAGATTCGAGACTGGGATCGACACCTCTATTATTTTGTTGCTCGATGTTGACATTCGGTACTAGGGCAGTGGCAAGGACAGAATTAAATAGAATACTTTTGAACAGACGCATCTCTTTATGGATAAGTGTGACTTGAGCTGTTCCCGTTGTCGTTGTTGCCGTTGCTGCCGTTGCTGCTGTGGTAAGAAACACACGTCTGGAATTGAAAAATTTCGTCGAAGTGGTGGCTCATGTGTCAATGTCGCAGAAAAAAAACAAATGATTTCGTTTGACGTCATAGTTTATCTTTTTATGACACTACTAACCAGTCCCTTGACACACACATTGAGGTACTTCAGTTCTTACTTTCTCATATCAAAGTGGAAGGGTCCAGAAGAGATGGATCGGTCAACCCAAGTTGGTGAACAAGGTAACCTATACAGGGTTAGGGTAATATTTAGTTTACATAAAAAAATGGTTTCTTTTGGGATCAAAATTTCACGACTAAGCTCATGTGCTGGAATTGGACCCGACTCTGGTAAAAGACAATGCCAATAGGAAGACGGCAAAGTCGAGATTCGGTTTACCAAATTAGATGATTAGTAATGTATCTTTCAGAATTTTTGCCCCCCTTCCCCCCCTCCCTACTGCCAACAATTGTACAGTCTAAGGAAGGCTTTTTTTTTGGGAGAAGATTGTATTGTTCACAAGCATAACAAATATGCAAAGCTGATCGTATAATATTTGATTACACAAATGAGCTGGTATACAAACACATGTGCCATTTCTGGGACTCTTACTACGAGCATCAGGGGGGCTGACTAACGTATCACACACGTAATCTAGGATCAAAGGAATTAGCGACAAGTGCATACTTTCTGGCATCAAAAATGTCACTTTGGTTTGTGAATGATGTTACTCGTAACTAAGTTCTTAGGACCGCCCCGTTTTTACGAAAAGTAAACAGATATCAATAAAAGTACAAAAGGAGGTGAGTCGTTCCTTGTAAGTAGTAAAGACTCGCTTTTGCGTAGATAATTACAGACTCTGACTCCTTGTAGTGTTCCTTGGGTAATGTTTTTGCTAACTGGTTAGAGCCTCAAATCTTTTTGTCCTGATGCCGACGTCAAACGTATGCAACGATCGACCATAGGATCCGGCAAAAGCTTCCAAGATTATCTACATTGTATTATATTCGTAGTTGCTGGCAACCAGAGGTTCTGAGTTGATACGTTCTCGCACTCAACAAGACTTTGCCAAGTGTAGACAGGAGAGCGACCATTTTTAGATACTGAACCTTACTTCTTCTCAAGTAAAGCATTGATTCCTTAGAGAGATAGAGAGAGACAGCCCCCCAAAAACTTACATTCAGAGTGTCTTACTTTATTTATGAGGCTTTACCTCTCGCCTATAAAGTTGGCAAAACCTTTGCTCAACAATTTTTTAGTCTCAGGGAGGGATCTTTGTTACACAAAAGCTAAAACCTTGTCTATTATTATTTTTCAAGTTTTGCAGTCAATAATGAAATGAGCCTTTGTCAACAGAAATTGATTATGTTATTTACTATTGGGAAAGGGGGGGGGGGAATGTAGCAGCATATAATTATCTCATTTAGGCCAAGGTATATCCGAATCTGGAAAGTGTTTGTAAACAAATGTCTTTTTCTCAAATGAAAGTGTGTGATTTTTTGTGAGTTCTTGGTTGATAGGTATCATGTTACTGCAACGATTTGGCAAGCCCCTTTCAGCATGGCAAACCAAAGGAGAATAGTATATAAGATGAATGGGGTCTACCACTTCCAAAGTTAATTTCAAGTATCTACCCCATCAGAAAACTCAGTCACTCGCTAAACAAGAGATCATGGTTTCGAAATCGTCAATTGTCACCACTATCTCACTCGCTGCTGCTGCTGCTGCTGCTGCTCCTTTAGCTAATCCAATTTACAGCAACTTTTCTGTCATCGCTACTCAAGTCATTGTCACTGACTACACCACTTATTGTCCTGAAGCGACTACACTTACCATCACCACATGTTCAGACAACCACTGTCTTCCAACAAGAATCACCGTCACTGAACCATCCACAGTGACAATCACTGAAGAAGTGTTGTGCTCAGCCACATCCACCATCAAGCCCCCAGCATCGGGATCTTCCACCACCCAAGCTACTGGTCCCATCATCACTGGCGAGAATACAAATACCCATAAAGGTACTGAGTCGACCATTTATGTCCCAACAACTGAAGTCGTTACTATTACAAGTTGCAGCAACCAAGTATGCCATCCCACCGAAGTCAAAGTGACAACTTCGGCTACCTTGACTACTACACCAGCCATCACACAAGCTACTACACCAACCACCACAAACACTCCTGGTGTCACTGTGATCCCAGACATAACTGTCTTCCCAGACATTACACCAACAGGTCCACAAACCCATACCGACGAAGGACCAGTCTTCTTATCACTAGGCGGAAACAACACCGCGGTTACAGTTGCTGCCGCATCCACTACACCAGCAAATAATGCCCCAGCGCCATTTGCATTGAGTGAGTCTCATTCTTCATCTAGCTTGGGCGAATCTCCAAGCATTGCTCCTCTTGCTGGAGGTGCAGCTATTTCTGATAGAGCCAACTCATTCTTCATTGGGGTAGTTGTAGTTGGGCTTGCTTTGTTTTAGATGTTGTTTTTCTGTTCAATCACAAGGTTACCAGTAACACACTTCGACGGTATTTTACTTTTTGGATTCAGTACTTTTGCTTAAACCAAATTCGGTTACTTAGTTAAACTCTGTTTTTTGTTTTTTTTTAGTCTTTATATACCTTCGTTGTCTACCTCTACAAATAAAAAATAAGCTCCATATTGAAATAAGTGAATCATGATTCCCATTGCCATCTTATTCTGTATACATGCTAGACAATTGTGGCCATACTCGCTTATACATACTCATAGCAACCACGTCCTGTGACGTCAACTTGCCATCGAAATTTGCCTTGAAATAACCATGGGTACCCAAACTCTCTTTAATGAATCCCAGTCGACCCGATTTCGTAAAAAGACCAATTGCTTTGAAATAATTGATATCCTCTGGGTTAAAGAACATGTAACGGACAGTGACTACACGTTTATGGATCTTGACTGGATGACCAGTCAAAACAATACGTTCAGCAACAATACGGGTGTGGTCACATCCCAAATAAGAGCCTTTACCAACAAATTGAACTGCTCCATTGTCACCCGGTTTAAAAAAAAGTACTGGAGCATTGGTGAATAGTGCAGGAGCGATGGCTGTGGCTATAGTCATCATTCCAGAATGCTGGAAATTTTCTTGCTTGTGTACATTGTTGCTGTTGTTTGACGCTTGATTGAATACTGGGTTGATAACTTGTCGACGGGGTCCATATTGTACAACAATTGTATCCTTGTTTTGAATTGGTGTTTCGTAATCTTCCCAATTTTCGAATGAGAAATTTGTTACGGCCAATTTATGCTCGTGTTCGAGTAAACCATACACAACAAATGGCTCGACTGTGGTATTGACTTGCTCGAGAATGAATTTGGGAGCTCTGATAAACAATCTGATTCTGTTTCCTGGTTGTACTTCAACATTTTTGATAAACTCTTTATTAACCTTGTTTCTTGTGGCTTTGAAATTTGCTACACGAAGTAAACGGTTCCATATACTTGGCTTCTCCAAATCATGCTCATCCACATCCCATTCACAATTGGCTAGCGATTTAACACCCCTGTATCCTTTAAGTCTTTCTCTAGCCGACTCATTTGGATGTAATTCTATTTCATCGGGAAACTCCAAATCCTCTTCTGCAGCAGACTTGCGATACTCTTCCAACTGACGTTGTTCCTCCTCTGGTGATAAATCGACATGCATTTCAGATTCAGAGTATTCAGTAGCTCCTTCATCCATATCCTCGTGTCCTTCTTCAAGTATAACATCTTCTTCATCTTGCATTTCATCAACCTCTTCCAAATCGGATGCATTCTCATCCAAAACGTCATCAACAAACCACCTACTCTGATACTCCGAAGTGCCCTTGGGGACTCTTTTGTTGGGGTTGGCTTTGGCTTTGGCTTGGTTTGCCCCATCATCGTTAAAGTACAATTTACCTTCTGCTCGTACTCCCAAACCACCATTGTCATCTCCCAAGTTTTCATCCCACATGTCAGCGTCAGCATCAGCATCCTGACCTTGTTGAAAATCTGGATTCAATTCGTCCAAAGTATCCTGATTCTCATTCGGCAAGTATATTTGTTCAACATCCTCGTCGATTTGCATTTCATTTCGACTCCTGCCTGAGTTTTTACTCAATTTTTCAATCTTGTCAACTTGGAAATCGCCAAATCCTGGAATATGAACTAGCCTGTTGACATTGAACCCAGTTCCACGGCAAGTCCCCTCAACAACCACACCCTCGTAGGACTCATCTTGCTTGATTTGATCAGCAATGAGCCACCCTCTGGAATCTCTCCATGTCACCTGTTGGGGAAACTTTTGACAAATATACCTTAGACAATTGGCATTATCAGAATCCAGTTCCAATGCATAAAGTTTATTTTCAGCAGGGAAGAAGTGGCTGAAAAATGACTGCAATGATTGTTTAATATCCAATTGAAGGTTCTTTTTGGGATATGCCGATACGATATTTGGCAAAACACCAACCACAGATCCAATACCTTGGGCTAGTAATGCACGTAGTATGGTTTCTCCATATCCTTGTTCGACTTCCTGGTTTGCTGATATTCCAAATATGACAAAATCAGATACTTTTGCGGCATCAAGCACTTGCAATATATTGTCTTGGTTCGGGAGAATGATTTTCAAATTGGACTTGAATTTGGAAACATTAAGATCGGTAACACTTGGGTACTCAAAATCAGTCTTTTGATCGTCTTGGTTGAATAGTTGACTCGCTATTCCAACCGGTGACAAGTCATTGGTTAAACATATTATGGTGACGACTTTCTGAGCGCCGGAGTTTCCTTCAAATAGCTTCTTTGTAAGTTTGGTTTCCAAAATCTTATTTTCCTTCAATTGTTTTGCCAAGTTCTTCCGTGCAAGCTTGTTCAAAGGTTTTGAAGATGTGCCAGAGGACGATGATTTTTCGACTTTTCCTTTGAATTGGTTCTTTAATTGACCTTTGGTTGCATGTTTTGATTTGAATGGCTTATGGTCATTCTTTAATGTGTTTCTATGTGAATTACCTCCTTTTGCCATTGTGCTTGAATGGTTGACGAGGTTGACAGTAACGCTGTTCCGAGACACTCCTTCCGTCTGCGATGAGCATTAGATCGAAACCATCTTCCGATTTGAGGTATACACTCACGTGATACTACATTAGGGCTGTAACCGCTAGAAATATATATCTAAGCAGAGAATGAAAAAAAAAAAACGTGCAACGGCAAATTACACAGAACGACAGAGGGAAAAATCTCATGTACTCTGTCTTGTCTGTCTCGCACGAAACATCCTTCAAAAAATTTCTGGAAATTTCAGTGTTTAACAGTTTTGACTACATATCAACAACGTTAGATAAGTATGTACTACGGGAAGACACAACATGTGACAGACTGGAATGAATAGACCAAGGAAGATAAAGAGGGAACCATCATATTCATGACAAGCAGGAGTCAGTGGACTACCACACAATCAGAGAATATGTTCATGAACAACCGACATTTCAAGATCATGCCAATACGTTGTATCAACTTTGCCGACTACAGATACAACCTGGATTTGCAACAAGACAGCACCAGTGATGAAGGATATCATTTAGAAAAAGAAATGGCGAGCTGCACTTGAAGTCAAAAAAAGAGACCACTTTTTCTAACCTCACCAGTCACAGTCCATAATACTCCAATTTAGATCATTCATATACTAACTTTTCCATCTTCTAGGTTATAAAAATCATGGCACACGAAAACGTTTGGTTCTCACACCCAAGAAACTTTGGTAAAGGTTCAAGACAATGTCGTCATTGTTCTTCCCACTCTGGTTTGATCAGAAAGTACGGAATAGATTTGTGCCGTCAATGTTTCAGAGAAAAGGCTAACGACATTGGTTTCCACAAGTACAGATAAGCTGTGACTCTGCACCAGTGATTGTGGAAATTTGATAAGAGGAATTAAATTTGAAGGACAGCTTCTTTTTTTTTTCTGTCTATTGAAGCAACACTTTTTACAATAGTGGATGCTTGATTGAAATTGGTGGAAGGGGAAAGAAGTTGCTGATGGAGTTCTTATTATATCATGTAATGTATAGGTAATAAAGAGAAAAAATTAAAGTTTCAAGAGAATGCACGTTGTAGAGAGAGAGGTGGATATGTTTTAACATTCAAACACAGGCCCGAACAGTCAACTGAATATGTCCCACTCCAAAACGTCAGCATCATGTACAGAGATGATTGCTCACACCGTCTCACTCTTACAAAGAGAGAACGAACAACGTGATAGAGACTGCAATAACATATATGTGCCCTTTTAAAATTAATCGACATTCAAAATTCTCTAAAAGACAAATTTCAAACTTCCTAAAAAGGGGTCCAAAGAGAAGGTCCAATCTCGGGAGGTTTTATTCATAAATAAAAATGGCAACGAGTATAACTTGGAAGCGGTTACATTATCTCGTCGTGGCAAATTTCTCCCTTATATACTTTTTGATTAAAGAGGAGAAAAGAAGAAAGGGGAAAACAAAATGTAAAAAAAAAAATTACAGTGAGAAATGAGATGGTTTTATAGACAGAGGCAGTGTAGCTGTGGATTCAAGTAGCTACCAAATGCTATTTCATATAACAACAACACACACACACACACACAAAAGTTTGATTCTATCAACCCACGTTTTTCATGACTTGATCGACATCGATCCGTAGTATCAATAAAGACCTCAATAGTCCAATCATTGTCACAAAACTTGCTAGTCCCACTGGAACCACAGCAAATACGACAATATTGTAAAAATCAAAAAATCGCCTTGGCTTTTTCATCCTCATTTGGCCATGATGTTTGATGTTAGTGCGACCTGCAGTATTGCTGTTTTCAGTTCTGCTACTTGTTGTTGGAGTCAGGCTGGTGGCACTGTTATCCACTTCATTTTCACCATTACCACCACCAGCACCACCACCACCAGCACCACCTCCACTTCCACGAACCGGCTCGTGTAGTTTGACATTATTATGATGTTCAAGTTGCAAATTCAGCGTGACAAAATTTTGCACAATATACGTAAAAGTCAAGAGACAACTGATCAAGATCCAAATGTGTAGGCCATACTTGTAACCATCAGCACTAAACGTGCTGACCATGTACAATTCACAAAAAATCATGATGGTAGACATTGACAACACTCGCACAATTGCAGCAGAGGTGGAGTATGTGATTATCCATCTCACCAACAAGGAATCAAGGATCGAATAGGACAAGTACGCAGCAACAATACACCAAACACCAGTTAGAAAATGTTCCAAACCTCTAGCAGTTGTTATCTTGTAAGATGTAGCATTCATTGGGTCATTATCCTGATAAATACGTGTCCATGACTGATATAGTCCAAACAATGGCGGTATTAAAGATATATCACGACAAGAAGCTAGCAAGAAATGCTGTCTTGCATTAAGAAACTTTAAGCCCAATTTCTTGATGGAAGTTTGTTTGAACTTGTTACGAAACTGTGTGCTAGTAGAAGAAGATGTGTTTGACGATAACGTGTGATGTGGTGAGTGAGAATTACCCTGAAGCTGCAGCTGTTGCAGCAGCTGTTGTAGAAGAATTGGCGTTGTTGACACTGATGATTCTACTGAATCCAGGAAAAACATTGAAGACGTCCTTGGTATCGGTAGTGACGGAATAGGAGTATATAGATGTGACGCAAGTCCCCTTGGCAATTCCCTCGCAGTATATTGGCCATCTATAGATACGCGTTGGACAGGCTCAATCTCTGTAGGCTGAGCTCGATTATTCTGATGCATTAGCTGTGATGTCTCGTAAGTGGGAACTGGTTCCTCTGGATCAAACTGGAGTTCATTCAAATAAGCATCGTTTTGCGAAAGACTAGTGTAAGAGGTTTGGTGTGGTAGACACGAGGGGGCACTATTGAATCCATGTGTTGACAGGTCACAATTCAATGATGTCAAGGCTGAACTTGAAGTCCTTGTCGAGTGTGACCACTGTTGCAGTTGTTGCAGTTGCAGTTGCAGTTGCAGTTGTTGTTGTTGTTGTTGTTGTTGTTGTTGTGGAATTGTAGATGTAGATGCATGTGAAGGTGTCAGTGACTGTAGTTGCGGTTGTGGAAGTGGTGAGGAGTTTACAACTTCGTCGTCCGTTGGATCCGAATAGTCATCATCTATTTGGTGTGATTCCAAGGTGTTACCAAACCTGGCCCGTAGTGAAGAGCTTATGATCATTGAGTGCCGCGCTGTTGAGGTTTTTGAGTTGGGTTGTACCGGTAGGATCGTAAGATACACTATGCTATGCCAAGTCTTCTGATAGAGTGTAGCTGAGCTCCTTGGATGAGATATATACGTGCAAGTTGTGTAGTGAATACCAGTAACTTCTTCCTTCTTCCAAAAACTTACAAACGTATCTCTCTCTCTCTCCCTTCGACCCTTTTCCTCGGTTTTTTCTCTTCCTCACACTCTCTTTCTCTATTCCTTTGTATACGATTCTTTTATATTCTGTTTTAGTTTATTGTCTTCAAACTTAGAGAGATCTCTAGGAGGCTACTGTATATACATATACATAACACAAAGCTCATTATTAGACCCAAGAGATCCGGTTGGTGAGAAGTGTAAGTATAGAGGTAGTAAGTAGAACTACGTAATGTAAACCAATATAACAAGTATCTTGCTTTTGGCTCGTTGATTTATTGGCAAGCGAAACATGTGCGCCTAGCAATTGTATCTACACAGATAAATCACAGGGCACCCCCCCCCCCCCCTCTTCCCTCCTTCCAAGAGTAGCAGAGGTAAAGTCAAATATTCAATTGAGTTTAGTCTCGGTCAAATTTCTCACTGCGTTTTACGAAAGGCACTTTTAATTTAACATTGGGGATGTCAGTATTATCAAAAAAGGAACACATTGTAGGATATCTCCTTTGCTTGGTATAATGCTATTTATAAATCTTTAAAATTATGAGCCAATTACAAAATACTTGTTGTTATTCGCCAGAAAAGAAAGAACAAGAAGCTCCCCCACCTCATTAGCTTAGATAGCTTCTAATTGTTGACTGATTTCATCCAATTCGTTCTTGACTTCATTGTATTTCTCAAGCAACTCTTCTTGTTTCTTTTCAAGTTCCTCCTTTTCGCTTTCCAAACTGGCAACCTTTCTTTCCAATTGTTCGGCCTTGATGTCAGTTTCTCTCAACTTTTCAGTAGTCTCCTTCAAGTTCTTATCAGCCTCTTCCAATTCTTCTTCCAAAACTTGGTTCTTTTTGGTATAGTTTTCATTAGAAGTTTTCAAAGAGTGTGATTCATCAGCAGTACTTTTGATTTCTTCAAGATTGGTTTCCAATTTTTCAACTTGTTCTTCCAAAACTTGATTCTTTCTGGTTAATGCTTGGATTTGGTTGTCCTTTTCTAAACCCTCTTGTTCCAACTCCTTAATCCTCTCGGACAATTCGTCAGACTTTTCTTGCCATTTTTCAGCATCCAATTTCAAGTTGTTGAGTTTCTAGTGTTAGAGAGTGAGTTAGTATACCATTCGCATAAAGGTGAACATTAAAAACAAGCGCCGCGTTATCTGATTGTTGTTACCGTAGCACTGCTGCTTACATGCGTAGAAGATCACATATATCGCAGATAGCTAATACGCGCAGCATTGATCTAGATTCAGACAATCAGGGTGACATCGACGCTGTATGTATTTGAGATGTAGTAGTAGTAGTAGTAGTAGTAGTAGTAGTAGCTAACATACTTCCTTGAGTTTATCCATGGTTATTGTATAGTTGTAGTTTTGTCAAGTAAAAACTGTGTTCAATTGAATAAAAAGTATGTGTTGTCAAATCAAGGGGGAAAGAAGAAAAGGACAGAGATCAATTTTGTTTTTCGCTCGTAACATTAGAAATATTTTTTATTATTACTTTGGTCTATATATATGTCTGTGTGTCTCTCTCTTTTTTTTCTGTTTATTTTTACCAAAACAAAGTTGTGTTTGAAAAATACACGACATTTCAATAACGTGTATGTCTCTCTTATTCTCTCTTTCTCTCTTTCTCTCTCTCTTATTCTCTCTCGCTAATTTTCGTTTGTCGTCACATTAAATGTCGTCGTAGTTATATACACGACACGCCAAATAATGTCTCATCGTCTAAATTGAAACAGATCTTTTACAATACTTTAACCCCCCAATTTGAAACCAAAGTATGGCTCTGATTCACGCCCATGCCGAACCCAAAACAGGATTTACCTACGAAGCCGACTCTTACTTGTCATTCACAAGGCATATCTGTCAACTTGTAATGCTAACAATTTTGTATCTGCTTTATTGCTTTTGACGATTATGTGTACCACTGATTACTGTAGAGCAACACTGGCACAAGAGATACAGATAGCCATGGTTTACCATTTTCAAAGGAAACAAAATCCTCGCTAAGTAACAACATTGCTTGTGAGTATGTATCGGTAGCGCATACATTGAGTGGTGCTGCAAAATTTACACAAAATCAAAACACGGTAACAATTTTTTTTTTTTATTTTTTTTTTTATCTCTATAGAGGAAACCTTATAGCCAGCCATGTTCCAACAGCTGAAGCTATACAAGGTACAAACACACACACACACACACACACACACATATGCATGCAGTTATGCATACAATGCAAAGAAATCAAACATAGCAATCCCCTTTGCATTTAAGCGATTTTTTGTTTGATCTGGGAAGATGTCAATTTGATAGAAAAAAGAAGAAGCTTTTACTTTTGAACGACTAACCTACTCAACATCACATCCCATCCCATCACATCCGTTCAAGTCAGTGTTATTCTCATAAGTATCCTCTCCTTCATATCAGGCGGTCTTTTTCTCACACTCATACACAATGACATCTGTGATACCTCGTTCGTCACATGCATCAATAGTCACTGGATCAACGCTTGACCCATTCAATCAAGAGAGTCATCATAGGTACTCAGCTAGTATCGGCACATCATATGGCCACAGTCGAAAACCTTCCAGAGCACTTTCACAAACCAACCCCTTTGAAGTCATTTACTCCAGTCAAGATCTCACCTTTGATTCGTCAGCACAACATAACTTGCATATGCCAAAGCAGAAACCTTCACCTCAAAATTTCCATCAGCATTCACCGTGGCACAGTCAATCCAATTATGATCTCATAGCAGAAAATGTCAAAACAGGAAGGAGTCTCGTGAGTGGAATCGCGTACACTGGTAGCAGCAACAATGATGACCAGCAACGCAATGTCAGCAGCAGCAGCCAACATCCAGTGGTCACGGTCGTGAAGTCGACTTCGTTAAAAAGATCGGGATCCACCGTATCACGACTGGCTACTTTAAGAAACAGAAATAGGATCAAACAGAGAAACAAGACAGTCAAGAGAAAGGATCTACTCAAGGACGAATTGGAGTTTAAACCCAGCGATGAAAAGCGGACTGAGCAAAAACACAAGACCAAAAAGGAATCATGGTTTGGTTGGCCTAAATTTAACTTTCCGGTTCTACGAAAGAAATCATTAAAGTATCGATCTGTACACAACGGGCAGAACCCGAATTTCACAACCAGACATGAATTTATGAACTTTTTGCAAATGAGCAACTATAACCAAGTAGTTGGGTCTTCGTTACCTCATAGAATGAAGATGTGGAATTACACACAGCCATTGCATCCACATCCACTATTACATTGGCAGGTAGTGGATTTCGCAGAAAAGGATGCTCCTGCTACTACTATTGCTGCTCCCATTGCTCCTGTAACCGTGACAAAATCCCTCAACTTACATTCCAGAACAGGATCTATGTCAGTTATTGATGTCTTGTACCAAAACTATAAAGCCCGAGCATTCGAAATGGCACAGAGGCATTACTCAAAGAGAAGACACGGCAAAGAGTACATGAAGGTCCCCCCACCTTTTCAAAAGTTGTACCCACAAGATGCTGTACTTTTGTCCAAAAGAGAAGTTCATCAAATAAACACCAAATTGCTAGTTGAAATTTTGTTACGAAGAACCGTGGCTGCTAAAATGGAGTACAGGTTGAGACAGCATGGGTTTGAGTTTGAAAGTGGACATTCGGACTCCTCTCTGTCAGCTTCGTCCTGGTCCTCCTCCTCACCACCACCGCCACTACGATCATCCCCGGCAGCACGGTCATCCATTTCTTCATCTCCGTCGTCGTCGTCGTCGTCGTTGTCGAGTGGCAAATACTCACCTCATGGCCACACACATAGAGGAAGACGATCCAAAGGAAATCCAAACTTCGCAGCTACAGGACCGTACCACAACGACAACTTAGTTTTGCAAAATGAATCAATTTTCCAAAATATAATTGCAAGCTCAAACAATCAGTCGCCAAAGGATACAAGCTCCGTGATGTATTTCCAGTCACAATCTAAAGGCGATACGACCAGAAACTCCTCGTTCTTTACCAATCCATTCACCTTGGATCCCAAATCGACCATCACTAGAATCCTCAACGATAACATGCAGCTGCATCACCCTAGAAAAGCACCAAGAAAACAAATGTATCAGCTAACACCGCAGCAGCAAAGATCACGCTCCACTTTGAGCTCCGATGAAGACACACAAGATCCATTTGCAAACAATGCCTACGAAACTTTTCTGCCTATTGAGAAGAATTCAGACTCATACAGAGACTCATTATCTACTCTGTCTAGAGACAAAATGAGAAAATCAGACAGTACCACAAACACATCTATCTTGCATTATTTAGATCAATTGTCTCTGGAAGTTGATTCTGTATTGGAAGAGCTTGACACCGACCAGGAGCTTGGTGGTGGAAGCCGTGATATTAAGGAGACGAAGAAGAAGAAGAAGAATAAGAAGAAGGAAATACCAGGGAAGTCTACATCGACAATGAAATTGGGCTCTCGACGCACTGTGCCGAAAAACATCATCGAGCCAGCTCGTATTATTGAAAAGTTGAACGAGCACGATTTGCATTTGATTAGTAACGTATAGAAGTGTAGAACCAAAAGAAACAGTAGCATATATGTTATTCATTGTAGCACTCTCCTTTACCGATTTGTTCATTTGCCCCATAGAAATCGCGCTAAAAAAAAAAAGAAAAAAGGAAACAAAATTAAAGAGGCACACACTGCACCAACTCAACAGAGAAGTGAGTCTGCACCTTCTTATTCATCCACGTCAACTACATATATCAACATGTCTAGTTCATTTGCACAAGGCCGTCAGGGCTTCACAAGTAGGGGCAATAACCAACAGAGGTCAAGCACGAGCATACCGCGAAATACAGAAGACGACGTTGGTACTGCACATACAATCTTTGGTCCCGAAAACCCTGCTTCTACAGAAGAGGAAGCACTAGCTGAAATCATTGTTGATGCATTAGGCGAGGGCAATGGGCCTGACTTAAATGAGCCTCCAGCAAACTTAACCTCTGATGATGTTTTCTGGAGTGCAGAGATAGGCGATCGGGGCAAAGACGAGACAGAAAGAGACATTTTACGCGAATTCGAACTTGATGAGCAGGAGGTAAAGAGTGAAATAGACTATACTGAGCTGACCGATTTTTCATTCTGGTCTCGATTTGTGGGAATTGTTAAAAAGAGTGCAATTAATTTGATTCTACCATTTATTAACGGTATGATGTTGGGATTTGGTGAAATCTTAGCTCATGAGATCGGATTCCATTATCATTGGCATGGAGCTAAAGTTGAGCCTCCCAGACGCCTAGCTCAACGCAGGTTGCAGGACGCGGGGTCAAAGTATTTGTAAATCTGTATTGTATATAATTAATACCAAAGAGTCACTTTGGAGTAGGCCTATTCCGTAGACGTTATATTGAAGCTAGCTTGCCACACAAGCGGTCCCCTTTCCGTGGCTTGTTACATGCATGCCGGGGATGCCAGGAACGGACAGCAAAACAAGGCTGCGTGTTTTGCCCGACATCGTACAAAAAGAAAATAAGAAGAGACAAAACTCCGAGGGTGTTTAACAGAAAGCAATTCTACAAATACCTCATCTTTTGTCATTTATCTAACCAAATATCATCCTGTCCATTGACGCGTCCAAGCATGCCAGGTAAAAGAATTGAAACTGATGCTTTTGGAGAGATTGAGGTACCAGCAGACAAGTATTGGGGTGCTCAAACCCAACGATCATTAACCAATTTTGAAATTGGGGACATCAAAATGCCATTTCCCATAATCAAAGCATTTGGCATCCAGAAAAAAGCTGCGGCAATCGTCAATGAACAGTTGGGCTTACTAGACCCAAAGAAGTCGAAAGCCATTCAACAAGCTGCCGATGAAGTTATTGTTGGTAAATTGAATGATAATTTTCCCTTGGTGATTTTCCAAACTGGGTCAGGTACTCAATCTAACATGAATGCCAACGAGGTGATTTCTAATAGGGCCAATGAGATTTTGGGTGGTGAAAAGGGGACAAAGAAGCCTGTGCATCCTAATGATGATTGCAATATGTCGCAATCATCAAACGATACTTTCCCGACAGTTGCTTACATTGCTGCTGTGATTCACATTGAAGAACACTTGACTCCAAATTTGGTGGATTTGAAAGAGGCATTTCAGAAGAAGGTTGACGAGTTCAAGGATATCATCAAGATCGGAAGGACTCATTTGCAAGATGCTGTGCCCTTGACGTTGGGTCAGGAGTTTTCTGGGTATGTACAACAATTGGAATTTGGTTTGGAAAGGGTGAAACAAACTGTGCCAAGGTTATCCTACTTGGCACAAGGGGGCACTGCTGTTGGTACTGGATTGAACACGGTTCGTGGGTTTGACGTCAAGATTGCTGAGGAAATCTCCAAGCTCACTGGGTTCCAATTCAAAACCGCACCCAACAAGTTTGAGGCGTTGGCTGCACACGACACTTGCGTAGAAGCATCTGGAGCTTTAAATACCTTGGCTACATCGTTGTTCAAGATTGCCAACGATATTAGGTACTTGGGTTCGGGACCTAGATGTGGATACGGAGAGTTGGCACTACCTGAAAATGAACCTGGATCGTCAATTATGCCGGGCAAAGTCAACCCCACCCAATGTGAAGCAATGACCATGGTTTGTGCCCAAGTTATGGGAAACAACACCACAATTACATTTGCCGGTGCATCAGGTCAATTTGAATTGAATGTATTCAAACCTGTGATTGCATACAATTTGTTAAACTCCATTAGGATTTTGGGAGATGCTTCCAGATCTTTCAGGATCCATTGTGTTGAAGGAATTGTTGCAATCAAAGAGAAAATTGACAAGTTTTTACACGAGTCTTTGATGTTGGTGACTGCTTTGAACCCCAAAATCGGGTACGACAATGCTTCTAAGGTGGCCAAAAATGCGCACAAGAAGGGAATCACCTTGAAAGAGTCATGTTTGGAGTTGAAGATGTTGACTTCCGAGGAATTTGATCAATGGGTCAGACCGGAGAAGATGATTGGGCCAAAAGAAGTTTAGAAATCTCTAATTTACGCAAATACATGGGGTGGGAAACGTATTCATATTCATATTCTACCTTCTTCTTCTATTTCTTCCTTTCGACAGATTAAGGTTAA